AAAACGTTTCTTATATCGCTGAAAATTTAAGTTTAATAATTAACTTGTTATTCGTAATAAATCCGAGCAGTATTAAAAATTATCAGTATTTGAAATTCATTCCCATGGAAACAAGCAAGCATATCTAGTAAATATAAAATTCAGCTAAGGGTAAAATTCAGCGTCAAGTCTTAGTGCTAAGTCTCGCCACTGAATCTTACCTAAGCGTGAAGAAAGCTACTTTTAATAATAACATTGAATTTCATTGATGAAACGCATTCAAATTTGATCGACGACGACGGGAAGAGAATAAGTCCGTGCTTGTAAATAGTGTGTAAATTTCTAGATTAGTTCCTCGCACTGAGCACTGATTCGTCAATTACTGATTAGATTCTGAGTAGAAGTTGCTTTTTTAATGCTGTAAATGCGCCGCTAACACATTCAAGTGGTAACTAGTGTTTGCAGTTTGTAGCATAATCTTTTTGCAATTTTAATAAACATTGTTAGAATAGTGCAATTAACATCGTATGTTGACAGATGTTTTCTTAAAAATTGTTTGGAAAACAGTAGTGTTGACAAAAATAGTCACAGACAGACCTATCTTGCTAAAAAAATGTCTTTCTTATGTCAGCAATGTGTCTGCCCTATGCTCCATTCCGAGGTAACGCGATTTGATAGTTTGGCTTCAGTCTGGGTACGAAAGTACAGGCGGGTATAGTAAGAACCTTGTATGGTTGTAAAATGGTATAGTAAATTTCCTTCAGATTTTTTAAGTCCGTAAAAGATTATGCTACCTTAATATACTTGATTTATGTTTGCTGTTATTGAATTCTGGAATTGCCAGGTTATTTTCTGTTATGACTCGATAATCGTAATGTAAATATAAAGAAAATATCTTGTGAATTGTGTAGCAATAACATTATATCATAATATAATCAAACACTGTAATACGAATTAAAAATATATAGTATGGCGCGTCTAAACGGGCCATGTTTTGCTGCAATTGATGGCTGCACTGTTGGCCACTAATTGCCCGGCCATTACAAAAATATTTTAATGCAGCCGATGGCCGAACAATCTATGGCTGGGCAATGTGTTGCAATATGTCTGCAATAGTATGGCCCATGATGCAGACTCCTAAACGGGCTACACAAACCGGCAACAATGGCTGACGAAATCACACTTGTCGCAGCAGCTTATATTGTTTTAAAAAAGAAACAGAAAAAGAAGAGATTGTGGATTCGACCTTACTTAAATAGACGTGAAACTGAAGACAATTTGAGTCTAGAAATATGCCTTGATAATAAATTATTCAAGAACTAGAATGTCAAAAGTAGTCATTTTTACGTAGTAAACTAACGTCAAATACAGCTGATCGCAAAACACAGAATAAAGCAACACACACACTTCACTCAAAGCAAACGTCATGTCGCGTAGAAAAGGATACACTATGCCATAACAAACAGAGTGACTGAAACAACAAGAGAACTGGCTGTGCAATATTGCAGTTGAATTCGATAGCCTAGCGATCGTCCGGCCACCCATCGGGGCAACATCGGCCATATGTGGCTATACAAAACATGTTTGGCTATATGGCCGGGACATTACTGCAATATTGCATAGTGTGGCTGCTATTGTTTGCAATGTTGCCGGCCACAGTGTTGCAGCCATCAATTGCAGCAAAACATGGCCCGTTTAGACGCGCCAGTAGCAAAATAACATTGGATATTTTGACAAATACCATATTCGCTTTGTAGCTATCATATAAGGCAGTAAAATATCTGTTTGTTTTTTATGTATGCGATAAAAGCTTATTAAAGTCGGTAAACATCGGTCTGTAAGGAAACATAGCTAAAAGTTGTTCATCAAATACATTTGAAATAATACAGGAAAATTAAACCTTATTAGTTAATTTATGATATCTTAATCACAACACACGAATGCACATAGGATAATTAGATTTATAACGTAAAAGATTTTATTGACTATTTTAGGTTTGTTTAAACTTAATTTAATACAACATAAAAGTACAAATGTTTCATATATAACTATTACGATAAATGTATTGCAAATATACAAAATATATTATATCTTCACAAGACCCTGTACTCAACGTAGGCGAATATTATAAATACAAATCGCAGATAACAACTTAATATATATAAGCTTATGTATTTTCACTGACAAAGGGAGAGAGAATCAGAAATAAGTTTAAGTAATATGAAAAAAAATTATTTAATTTATTATATAATTTAAGTATGTAAATAAATCTCATGAATTAGTTATCGTATAAAGGCTTATCGTTATATCTTTCGCCGTCTTGAGTTAACGTTTTTACGACTTTAATTTGTTAGTAGAATCAATATATTTTATTGACGTTCTGTTAGGTTTTAAGATTCTTACCATATAGTTGTAGTTTTTGTTCATCAATATTCTGTGATATTTGATCTCAATAAATTTAGTTAATTTCAGTAGTTCGTTTTGGTGAGAAATGGTAACATTATCTTCCTGAATATATGTTTGGAAATTGAATATTGTTTTATTGCTTGATTTGTTACTTACCCTTTTCTCTTAGGACATGCGATACTCCGGATGCAATTAAAAATATTTTTTAATCGGTGTATGTTACTGATAACCGGAAACTGATAGGTAGATATCTTGTGGAAACTGATAGAGATCAGAGGGAGCCCTTACTCTGTAACTTCCAATAGATCCCGACAGAGATTCTTATATCCATGGTTACGGATATTAAGATAGCTACATTGTATTTCATACTAAAACGTTATCTAGGTTTCAAATTAAAAAGCGCCATCTATGCTTAGCATTAGCTAACTTGACAAATATCGCCCTTGTAAGTTTTCAATGTTTATAAAATCTTGTTATTGTAATCGCTAGTGAGAGTTAAAGTACGGACACGAATTTTGCATACCAAAACGTTTGTAGCTACAATCACAATATAACTTTATAAGAACGAAATTATTCCGGCCGCTAAGGATATATATAACTTCTCAACCTTAGCCACTAGGCACGCCTTCCCGACAACAAAGGCCCGTAGGAGGCCCCGACATAAATTAACGGATCCTGAAGATCCCATCAAGTAAGCTAATCACAAATTAGAGTTTAATACCGCCTTCGCCGGGGTAGAAGAGGTCCATTACTTCACCCTTCGCTCACTCCAGTGAGCTTCCGTCCTGCCCTTCAGGAGATTGACAACCCACGGCGGCCTAAGCCAAGGTCCAATTCTCGCAGGAGACGCCCTTGCAGTCGTGGAAAAATCCCATTTCCGGCAGAGCTACGCTCGCCGAAACAGCCCGAGCTGAGCCAACATCAAGATTCCATTACAAAAAGACATTGCGGCCTTCGGTCACTGCCACTGCCAGTCATTGGTTAGACTTGTCTGTTGATTGGAACTGTTTACCATTTTTCTTCCATTCGCCATTGGAAGTTACAGAGTACCAATGTTGGCTGTATTTTTGGCAACTTTTAATTTCATATACAAATAAAACACAATATTATTTCATATTCTATTTTTAACTTAAAAAGAATGCCTGTACAAGAATTATAATTACGATTCACCTTATATACATGTATTGAGCCCACTTATAGTAACGAATAACGTCCAATTTTAACAAATTTATTATTACGTCTCTTTTCATTACAGCATTAATTAAATTTAATAGAAAGAGACAAAAGATAATTTTGTTGTAAGTAATCCAATTATTCAAATTTGATTTTTATGATTAAAGAGTTAAATCAAATTATAGCTTGTTAATTCGCTTCAAGAAATTAGTTTTTTTTTATTGTGAAGGTTTGCTAAGAGAACAACTTAACTCACAATAAATCTCCTCGTTTTTGAAGTTGGTTAAAAAGAACATATAAAACTATCCCAAAATAAATAGGAAAAACATAAGTCCATATGAAAAATATACATGACTATAAATTTCAGTTAACTACATTTCGAAGACTTTTTGAAGAATTGATCACTTCAGGCCAATCCTTCAAACGTTTAATGATATTTCAGTCAACCTTTGACCAAAACCTTACACTGTAATATACATAAAAAATAAATTAGTTTACCGTTTTAACTAAAGTCAAACTGTCCCTTATCATTATATCGTAAACCAAATTTGACAGAAAGAGACGAAAGAGTACTTTGGTTAAAAGAGTGAAATTACTGAATTAGTAATAAATAGTAGAAGTAATTCGACTAAAACTGTTATATAGAAAAGACGCCAAACGGGCAGGACTCAGCTGATATATAGGTGATACCGCCGCCCATGGACACACTGCCAGAAGACTCGCATGTGCGTTGCCGCCCTCTAAAGAATTGTTACGTTCTCTTCTTGAAGGACCTTAAGTCGAATTGGCTCGGAAATACTCCAGTGAGAAGCTGGTTCTAGTTAGTTAATAAAAGTGCCTTAAAAACGCTTGGTTGTGTACAAAAACATATTTTGAAGTACATGTCTATATGAATGGTTGACCAACATCAGATAGCTAGCAAACACTTCTGCGATTCGGCTACAAAAAATAATACTCGTCAATGAGAAAAGAGAACTTTTTATTCCTACCCATCATTTCGATTATTTACAAAAAATATAGTTTTTTTTTTCATATAGACAATTACTAAATTACTATTATTTCATGGCTTTTTGTATAAATTGTTAGATAAAATTTTAATTAATTTTATGTGGTGCATCAACGCTACCAAAAACTTTTAAGACGTACAACTTAGAAGCAAAACTGAAAACTATCACAACGCCACCTATTAAGTACATAAAGAAACTTCTTAATTTCGTTGTAGCTTGCGACTCCTGTAATTTTTCCCAAACTATCACGAGATGGCGCTAATGACAAAACAGTATTGCCAACATAAAAACGGTGATTTATCACTGCAGCAACTTCACGATCTCTTTCCGCAGAGACTACAAAATTTACACCGAAGCATACTTTGTAACAATTTTGAGGTAGGTACAAAAGGTAACTCTGAGTTGAGGCAAGTTAAGTTAACATTAGTATCACAGTTATCTATATGGTATTAAGGATCTGACTCTTCGGCCTTTTCCGGGGAATCCTCTGGCATAAGGTGGCTTTGCATTCGTCGTGACGTAGTACACACCGCGTGCCCTGCAAACATTTCAAATATAAACCTCTAGGTCTCCGATGGGTCTGATGCCCCAGGCCACAGAAATCTGAATTTCAATATCTATTTCGTGATAAATATTTTTCTTAATAGGTAAGAGAGACCAAGCCATTGGGCCAATACTGATCACTACATTAAATATACATAAACTATGTTTTCTTAAAATCACGTTTCAGGCAAATGCTGATCACCTATTAAGAAAAAAAAACACGAAAATCATTTTAGTATCTTTGGTTTATTTTTATGATTAATTTTAATTGATATAAATCGGTCTGTAACGGGTTATTTCGTTATTGGGATTGTATTACGTTGCTGATTGGAAAGCCTAATTAAATTAATAAATAATTTTTTCAACCAACATTTGTATTGTGATTCAATATATTTCCATCGCAAACATACATTTTGCTTAAAGGCCTTTCTTTGACAGCTGGTTTCATTTAATGATCAGTAATATATAATTTCTTTAAATGTATTTATTGGTTAAAGGAAATAAAATATTTGTATTATAGAAAATCTAGTTTCAAGAGTTTTCAAAACATGTTTTCTAGGTACAACCTCTTTAGTTCTATCTATGAATTGTTACATGATCATTCTGAAATCGTGATGCAATCGTGACCTTGAGATGCCACATGATCAGATTTTTAAGTCCTAAGACATACGGTTTTTTAATGTTAACCCTCACCAGTTCCTAACAAAATACCTACTAGTAACAAGTGACAACGCTCTGAGATCGTGACTTGAGATGCATGAATCAGAATTTGTCACTGACTACTTTTAAAGTATAAGGTAACACCCCTGTCGTAGATGAATTTGGGTTAGGCAGTTGACAATCATAAGTAGAGAGATTTATAAAAGTTTTATCAAACAGGTGCTAGAAAGGTTAACTATTACCACATAGACAAATGAAAATTACCTAAGTCTAAATAGAGTTAGGAATCTTTAAGTTTCAATTCAGAATTAAGACAGCGCTAAGTCTCACTCACGTAGGTCTTTGGCATATGGGAGTAAAGTAAGCCTAGATTCTGAATATATTAATATGAATACATCATTTTTGAGTAATAATATAACTTACTTATGGGTCACATGTTCACCCATCAGTACATAATCAGTGTCTTTGGGCTCGCACCAGCCTATGAGGTAGGAAAATAGACTGGGACATGGTCCAGCCCAGAAACCAGTACGGCTGTTGATTGACTCTATGAAGTACGGCGTTACTTTAGTATGGTCACATGATAAGGTTTCTGAAAACAATTAATATTAAATTATTTAAATTATGTTTAGTTAAAACAATAAAGAATCATTGAATTTGAGCAATAAATTATTATAACTTTGGCATACTGTATAATGTTATGTCAGGGTGACAAATATATATATATCTCTAGGTCTTGAGCAACAAGGGGAAGATGCGCCATCTAGCGGCAAATTCTTATGACAGCAGTTCGAAGGTCGGCCCATGCAGCGTTATGTTTATTCTGGTTTTATATGACAATTGACTTTTTATACTAATGTATTTTACGATTTCATACATTTAACCTATCTTTCTCATAAAAGTTTCACTGTTGGTCTGATGAGTTCTATGGTTGACATTCATTTTTAAATCGTTTATGTGAGAGATGTAGTTCAGGATAATATTAAGTGATCAATGGTATTATGGTCTAGAGTCAGGAATTTTGCAGCATAATCTTATCGTTAAATATTTTGTTCCAACTACAAGCAACCATTGAGAAATAATTGAGCACTTTTAATACAATTATTATTTCACAATGCTTTGTTCCGTAATTCATCCAGAAACATATGAGAGCGACTAATGACCATGTGTAATTTCTTTTAAGAATGGCATTGATCGAAATTTGCGTTACAAAACTATTATGTAATAGTTGAAAATTTTCGTAAGGATTTTCGTTTGTCGTAGATTTTGAAGAAAATAAAAGTATTTAATCTGCTAAAAAAAAATATATAGTATAGATGAAGGTATTATCAGTTACTTTTTTAATAAACCTATAAAAGTATGTGTTAATACAAGAACTCATTTCAGCAAATCTACGGATCTGTAAACAAATTTATTTTACAGGATGTAGACTTTTGTAAACATTAGCAAGAATTGTAAAAGAAGTAATTTTCTTAAAAACATTTAGAAAAATAAATCAAAACTCTAAAGAGGTAGACTCTTAGACCTGAGAACAATTTTTACGTTAATTTACCTCATTAAACCCCTATATCGTTTGATTCTCACTTTTTTGGAAACCTTGTATAAATAATGTGATTATTAAATTAGGCGTAAAACGTTTGCAACCATTATTCTGTATAGCATATTATTTGTACAGCATTGAGGTTGGCCATACTCTATTCAGAACTGGTTTTTTTTCAACACTATTTAGCGTACTTGCTGTTTTCATTTATTTTATATTTTTTGTGAAGAAAGTTTAATGTGGCTCATCAACATTAAATATATTTTTATGACGTACAACTAAGAAACAGGGCTGGAAACTTTGAGATGCATGTCTGTCTTGTTTTTACTATTACGCCATCTATGAAGGTTATACAGAAACGTCTTTATCTAATTTTCTTGCTTCTGACTTCTAGAACGTTTATAAATACTATCACGAGATGGCGCTAAACTTTTACGTCATGCCCTTAGTATTTAAAACTACACTTTTACGACAAAGACTATATCACAAGGCACCGCTGAACTAAAAGGGTATTTTCCGCGAAGTGGCTTAGGGTTATATTAAAAAACTATGATATCAGATCAACAAGAATAATTAGATAAACTTTTGACGTACGAGAATCTTAGCGCTAAATTTCGTTTCTACATCTTACCCTTGTTGTTCTAAGATACATAGATAACTAAGATACTAGATACATATTGGATATAAATAATAATACATACGAAAAATAGTATCATGAGCACAGCCAGGTTGGCTAGACCCTCCGTTGACATAAAAGTCGGCATGTCCATTTGGACCCCATTGACCAAGAATGCCTGCACCAGTGTGAAAAATATCTACAAATTCTGCGTCAGTATAATCTAAATCTCGCGAACGATTATTTCCCATGTAGAAAAATATTGTTGGGTCTAAACCTGAAAATTGACCATATTAAGATAATAATAAGCACTTTACAAAGAACTTTGGTTTTTTAAAAAAGTTTAGAAAACTATAGCTAGTACATTACTATGAACTGACAGTATTAAGTTTATATATGTATTATATATAAAATAACAACCTTTAAGCTTTACTTATATTGTATTTTATGTTAATTTTTAGGTTTTCTTTTATTGTGTATTAATAACTGTATTCAGTATTCTGTTGATGTCACTTACATGCTCTAACAAATTGTTATTAAGACATAATACATGTTATATGTTGTAAATAAACCATTTAATATAATAAACATAACAAATATACCTGTAATCCTTCCTAGTTTTCCTTCTGTTATGTGGTTAGCTACAAGGCCTAGAATATGGGCACCAACACTGTATCCTATAGTATGAATTTTCTCCGGAGGAATTCCTTTGCTTGGGTGGTACTGCACATATTCTACTAACTGTGCAATGCAGAGACTTGCAAACCGCGGAGCCCATTCTATCTAGAAAGATTTCATTATCATATTTAAAAAACAATTACATCAAATTAATAGTTTCAACAACTACATTTTTTAATCATGACATTGCTGAAATATTGTGTCCGTAGATGGTTAATCACCATTTTCATAAAGGCTTTCAACATAATAAAATTACTAAATATCTGCTTTTATAGTAAACAACGACTACATGTATTATGTATACGTTTCGAATAGCTATTGTATGTTAAAGAGTTGTTTTATTCTATTCATTGTCGTGTTTAGTTACACGCACAAAAAATAATAAAAATACATTAAGAATTCGCGACTTTAAATTTTTGAGACTTATTGGGAGGATATTTGTTTAATAAAAGTCTTACCTTTTAATTAGCATTAAGCATGGCCTACTTAATAAATACAACGTAATGTCAATCCGAATAAAATCTAATTAATAACACCTAATTAATTTGTAAAATTAAACGCTGTGAAATAAACGATATGACCGTGACATCGGCTAGCATAAATGGAGCGGAGGAAACTGATTCAATATAAATTATTATTTATTATATATCTGTCCTCGCTCAAACGTCAACTAGCTATCTCTAAACTCTTAGTATGTTATTAAATGAAGGCTTCTAGTACATACAAACATTATGCTTCTAATCTAAACAAATGAACGCAATACCTATATAAATAAAAAATAATAAAAAATATTTTTTTGTAGGTATTGTTTTATTAATTTTATGGCCTGGTAACGAGACCTTTAAGCCAAGAATAATATTATATGCGTGGTCCATAGACAAGATTCTCTATAATAGATAATGAAAGAGTCCTTAGAAAACTTTAAAAAATATAATTGCTTAACTTGTGTAAAAGAGTAAAGATGCAATTAGAATCATAATTTAATTATAAAAACGTTACTAAACGTTATAGAAATGGCGGGCTGTGCCATATTGTAATTATTATTCAAATATTACATATATTGGTCCCACGAGATTATATACGTAAGGCAAGGCGGTATGGTAACGCTCTAATATTTGCGTAAAATATTTATATGAACAATCTTAGTTTTGTACGCAACTACCATTTCAGACGCTAAATATATTTTATCTTAGCTTTCCATACATTGCCAAAGTCATGTTAGACTTTTTGGAGGCAGAGGTAATTATTACAATAGCGTCTTAATGTTCTAGATTATGGAAAATACTCATTAAGTGTCGCATTGAAAAAATGTGTGGGAAATCTTCATAATATAAAAGTGTCTAAGTAACGTATACTAATAAATATGTATAGAAATATTAAAATAATATAGCTTCGGTTTTTGTACGCACCTGACCAAGACAAGGCTCCTTAACCAAGGTCCCGTAGTCGACAATAAATATATTATAATTCCCTCTTTTGAAATATGCGTTTCTCATGTCAGTGCTCGGTGATAGATTCCTGCCTCCACCAAATCCATGGACTACAATTTTCGTCGGGTGTTTAGGATTGAATTTAGAATATTTTAGCGAATCGTTATCGAGAGTGTTGATCAGTTCGCCTTTTTCCTGAGTTGATCTGAAAATAGTTTCTCAAAATATTTAATCACCATAAGTATTTGTTCTAACCGTGGCAATATTAACAATTTATATTCGTTTGTCTATTTCATGTGATATTTGGTGACAATAATATTGACTTGTTTGTGATATTCAACAATAATATTGAACAAGGCAGAATACAAAATACCATCCGTATAAGTATAAGTTATATAATATAAAGTATTTCCGAACCAATTCGACTTAAGGTTCTTCAAGAAAAGAGCGTGAGAATTCTTTAAACACCGGCAACGCACTTGTGAGCCTTCTGGCAGTGTGTGTCCATCACTTAACAGCAACCCCCGCTTTTCTGTAACCCCCCTTTCCCACCCACACAGCGGGGTTTTCGGATCGGCGGTCGCTCTGAAATCATCTGAAGCAGTCATTTTATGATTTGACATTCTAATAAACAATAAACTACAAGCTCCCACCTTCTCAGAATGCCAAATCATAAAATGATTGCTTCACGACTGTTTTGGGGGGGCCCCCCCCCCCCCAAACCCCCCTTTTTTTTCCCAAAATGTGGCTGGGGCCCCCCCCCCCCCCCCCCTCCTGAGGAGTCACTTAACAGCAGGTAAGATTACTGCGCGTTTGCTTCCTTTTACATAAAAAAGGTAACATTTAATATATGGCTAAACGCTCCCTTTCGGTCGCTGTCCCAGTTAGTAAGTTTTAACAATAAGGAAATAACACGGTGGACAGATAAACAATTGGTATGTGTGTAATCCTGGACCGAGGCTTTTGTTCATAGATAACACCTAAGACATCATATTATGGCTTTTTAAAGTTGTATAATATACTATATCACTCGTAGATGATATTTTTTTGTAAGCACTTTTGCGCACCTGGTGCTAAATTAAATACTAATTAATTTTTGTCTAACTTACAGAAAAGCTTGAGTGGTATAGTCGATTCATTAAGGAAGGCAACATAACGCTACGACCTAATTGGGTGAAACTAGACATAGCTACTTGTAAATGAAAGCTTTTGTCAAATTGGAAAATACTATTAATTACCTAACTGACACTGTATCACGTAACTAAATAAATAAATCTTAATCTATTGTATAAAATATTATTTATTAAACTACAAACAATAAACACTTCTTACAACCAGCCCTGTCTTCCAAACTTCGCAAATATATACATTATACAGTGTATTGCGGAACAGAGGTTAAGTGACGAAATTATACGCGAAATTGTGTTTACGCTACGTTGAATATGTGTTTTAATATAGTTTAAACAAAAAATAGAAAATACCTTGTATATAAGAAAAACTGCATTCTCGGATGGGGACATCTATACGGAGGAGGGATACAGGATGTTGTATTGAAAACATCGCGAGCGGTTTGAGGCTTCTCGCGTTCGTCGCCTATAAGGTTCTCCCGCTGAGTTTTCGATACTGTAAAAGATATTTCCCGTTAACACATTATGTTTGTTAAAATATGAATATTAATAATATAAAAATCCACTTGTCATTGCAATAATTTATTTTTGTTACAAATATATGATATGGTTACAGTTTATTATTAAATAAACAAATTGCATTGTTGCATTTAATACTAACGCTAGTCTCCTAGACTCCAACACTAGGATATTCTTGTGCTATCAACTGATACCAAAGCGAGCCAAATTGCGTAATTTACTATAAATATGTAATTAAAATGAATATATTAACTGTTTAAATTATTTTACTAAAAATAATTTTATATCTCTATTCTCTATGCTACATTTAAATCCTTAAGGTCAAATAACGCAGATAAACAAAAATCACCTGCCATTTAGACATTTTTTGCTCTTCAGCGAAGGCTAAGGTAATTTTTTACTTCGAATAATTTGGCTTTATCTGACCGGTATCAAAATTTTGACAAGTTGTTTGATAAAACCGTGACAAAAACGAACCGCAGATTAATTTACATAAATTTTAAATTCATTACTAACGCATTCATAATCTGTAAATATTATATAAATTTGTTTACATCTGTCTCTGAATTACCTCTCATGATAAATAACAAAAAAAATGTTTACAAAAAAAAACCAATGACCTGACGTCTGACATTTAACCGAAAGCCTTATCAACATTTCTGATATATTTCACAGATTAGCGTAATAAAATATTATTGATAGTTATTTTTATTGAACTAAAAAAAAAACTAAGTTAACACGTGTGTACGTGTTACTTAACTTGAATTTATATAATTATTACTAGCTGACCCGGCAAACGTTGTTTTGCCATGTATATTATTTCTAGGAAAAATTTTTTTAGTTCAATAAAAATAACTATCAATATTAATGAATAGGTGTTGATCGCAGAGGGACGAAAATTTGGGGTTGTATGTATTTTTATACTCTGTGTCATAAAAAAATGAAAACAAAAAAAACTAACAAATCAAAAAGTTTTGGGGTGGACACGCTTATCACTTATGGAGGTTGAAAGATAAATAGTAGCCGATTCTCTGGACTGAACTTACTGATTATGTATAAAAAAATTCATAAGAATCGGTTGAGCCGTTTCGGAGCAGTATAGGAACGAACATTATGACACGATAATTTTATATATTAATTATCATTACTCTAAATGATGTAATAATGTTTATTGTCATGATTATTTAGTTTCAATGTCACGAGATTGGTAAATGGTAATTGTCTATGCCATGGACAAATAATTAATTTAATAAACTTTCAATTATGAACGAAAACAATAGGGAGACCTATTCGTATAAACTGCCGTTTAGTTTTTTCTATTCTCAATTATTGTAGGTATGTACAGTGTAAAGGAAATGTTTTACATAAAGTAAATATTCAGTTTAGGAGGGTTTTTATGTAGAACGTTCGATAGGTTGTTTAAAAACTGGTTTTTGTTACAAAATGTGCAAGGTCCAAAGTGATCTGTATAACTTTGTATAAATTTAGCATATCTGTTTCGAAACTTATTACATTGTTTTGTGAATATTTATTGCTTTTTTTAAATACAATATTGAAATTAATTATTGTAATAAATTAATAAATTAATTATCTCTGGGAACTAGGTCTCACTTTATTAAGGAACTATTATGGTTTACAACGTTCTAGGTTCATTTTCAGGTAAAACAATAATTGTTGATAGGTTTTTAATATAATAAAGGGAAAATACGCAAAAATGTCTGTCCCATGTATAGGAATAACATAAAAGTATTTCTGGTACATACTAATCACTATTGTTCGATTCCCGGAAGCGCAAATTTGTGATTTGCTCTCGGCCTTTGCACCTGTTCTATGTTACTCTCAATAACTTTACTTTGATACAGATGTTCTCTACAAATATTCAAAGAAGTACATAGAAGTTTGGTACAAAGGCTCAATATTGTAACTAAACCGAATGGTATTTTTTTCGAATAGAGAATGCTAAAATTTCAAATGATGTATTTTGAAATTAAACACATTATATGTGAGAAAACAAAGGTGATAATTGTCCTTAGCAATTCCTTTGTTTGAGCCCCTTGGGTAGTCATTTCAAAATTCAATTGCCCTATTACGTATATCTTACCTTTATGATAACAATATTAGACGTGACAAGACAGAAATTATGTAACATTGAATCATAACATTTAATACAAAGCAGGACCAATTGACAAAGACCTCTGGTAAATAAGATTGTCTTTGTCCAAAGGGCTCAAGCGTGTTGGCCGGGATTTTCCTCGCAAGGCAATGCCACTTTCACCTGCTAATAGAAACACTTTCCACATTTAGGAATAAAATTATTTTATTTCATATTTTATTTTTCAAATAGTCTATATTTGCATAATGGCAAGGTATTTTAAATTTTCTACGCTTTCCCTTTGAAGCTGAGAAGATTATTTTAGTAATTTTATTTTAAACTTATCAAAGTTGCTTAAGCTAAGCTTCATCTTCGGACGTCAACGCAGAATACAAAATACCATCCGTATCACCTCGACGTCCATCGTTCCACATCTTTTACGTTAACGACATCGTTTCTTAAGGTAGTTTTTGCCGCGCACCACCACTATGTGGAACCAGCTGCTCACTGAAGTATTTCCGACACAATTCGACTTAGAGTCCTTCAAGAAAAAAGCGTACCAATTTTTAAAAGGACGGCAACGCATTTGCGAGCCTTCTGGCAATGTGAGTGTCCATGGGGTAACTTAACATTAGGTGAGCTTCCTGCCCGTTTGCCTCCGACTACGTAGCAACAGTAGATAGACTGAGGCCTAAACGTATTCCATCATCACTTTTTTTCTCCCTTTTCTATCGCACGTATCAAACAAGCTTTTTCGTTAACATGTAACGCTTTTCTTTTACTGGCCATCTTGACAGTTTCAGTTTGTTTACGACTGATAATACACCATAGGTGACGATGGTGCGGTTTAGTAACTGAGACCAAAATTTCCTTCATTGTAATCTAAGAATAATAGCACACGTGTTATACATAATGGTGAGTAAATACAAAATCTATTTTTGAAGTTATACTTCTTTAGGCGCGTTATGAAAAATTGATGAGAGTGAAATTTTACGATGCGCGCGCACCGTGACACTAAATTAACAGAATGAAGTTGCCCACGGAAGATGCTACGGCATTGGACATAATTTAAAAACAACATTCGAATAATAATAGAATTTATGTTACACTTAATGTAAGATTTATTTAATTTTTCAAATGTAAACTGAACTTTATTGACTATAATGACTCCTTTTCCAGTCTTTGATTATTTAATTGTAATTAATTATGTGCATGCAATCAAAAACTATTTTTAATAAAGTCAAAGAAGTATAACTTCTTACGCGCGTACATAAGTACACGCACCCTATTTTTTATGAAGTATATTTACACAATCTTTTGTATCGTAGTGTGAATCGGAACATCTCTTATACGATGTCTCAATACAATGAAATTACTACACAAGATAATGAGAGTAGTTTCAAAAGTAAGTAGTATTTTATAAGAATTTCACTTAATTGCATGTATCATTAAACTAACGATTAATTAAGCTAAATGCGAAGATCAGTGGCTACGACGGTTTTTACCCAATTAACATTATTTTTCTAAGTGACCAATCCAGCGGAAAAGGGCTGCATACAGCGCTTTAGAAATAGCGACAGCAATATTCTTAAGGGAATTTTTGATAGGCTGAAGTCAAAGCAGCAATGGATGAGACTTGTCAAGTAAAAAAAAATGTGTTTATTATTGAACATAAGATACAGGTATCACTTATTCCACGTCATTAAATTTGAATAGGTATACATCCCTACTCATCGGCAAAGAAGACAGAGGGTGTAGGCCGAAAGAAAAAGCCGGCGTAAAAAACTCTCGGTACTCTTTTAAAAAAGCAAATCATCAAACAACACTTATTTTAAAACAAATATCGCAAATTAATTAGAAGTAGCCTGTCTAGCACTAGTCCCAGGCCCTTTTATCAACTAGATTATCGCCTTAGTAAGCCTTTTTACACAGCTTTGAGCTTAATTTAATATACACTTTTCAAAACACAAATGTAAAAATATGAATAAAATTGTTACTTCTATGGACTAAGGTTTTTCAAATAAATTGGTCCCTTATGTCAAAACTACTATGAATAACTTAACTTATTATTATGACATTATGTTAATGTTCTTATTAAATGACATTGTAAAAATTTATGGCGTTTGCATGGCATGTATAGCCGATTGTGCGGATTTTTGTATTCGTGTATCAAATTGTACCACTATCTTGGCAAATAAACGATTTATTATTATAAAAACAGATTGTGTTAAACTCGCGATTGTGATGTTACCCTATGTCTTAAAAACGTTGTAATAAGCTTAATTGTTTCTATGTTTGACGTGTTCTAAAATCGATTCATATATTTTTATATATATACTCTCTGATGTATTAGTTGTTATTGGTAACTTTCAATGGCGATACCGTCAGCGATCCTGATCTCAACAATGAGTTTTTGGTCCAGGCTTGAAGGTTGCGTCAGCGCTACGAATGATGACAGAAATACGAACTTGCGTACATAAAGCGGAAGGAACGCTAACGCTGTCGTTACCCCACGACGATACAAGGCAAGTCCGAGTCTTGCAGGACGCCCTTGAAATAATTTCCGGCAGAGCTACGATCGCCAAAACAACCCAAGTGCAGCTGTCAAGAAGCTTTAGCAACAGCTTATAATAATCTATATTAATACATCAGCTAAAAAGTATTTAAAATATTATATGCAACCTCTGTTGCATATAATAATTTAAAATGAATCTTGGGTCAATGTCTTGACCTTATCTTATGAAAATTAATACCTATTACTCAATTTATCCTTCACGTCTGTAACTATTACAAACTACAGCTGATAACAAAATGTTACAATAATTATGTATAAGAGTAGTGTTGGCCTAGTGGCTTCAGCGTGCGACTCTCATCCCTGAGGTCGTAGGTTTTAATATTGGATTCGTCATTAAAGAAATAAATATTCATGTTCTAATTTTAATTTACTGCATTTAAATAAGGTAGAACGGAAGAGAGTTCTTCTCTTCTTCTGGAAAAACTCTCCGCATTTGTTAATCGCCATGTTTTTTTTTTTTTACACAAGTTAAGTTCAACGTTCGATCCCCGGCAGTACACCAATGGACTTTCTTTCAATGTGCGCATTTAACATTCGCTCGAACGGGAAAAACACGGTGAGGAAACCGAAGACCCAAAAAGTCGACGGCGTGTCAGGCACAGGAGGCTGATCACCTACTTGCCTATTAGGTTCACAATTTTTCGTGAAACAGATACAGAAATCTGAGGCCCAGACCAAAAATTATTTCTAATTATGTAATAAGTTTATTTGATTAATTAATTAACTCAATATATAAAAAATACGTAAATCGCATAAATTTGTAATTCACGCGTTGTTAATTCTCCTTGACATCTTTTTTTATTTAACTTATGCATTTACGAAACTGATTGATTGACAACGTTGCAAAAGTACCCCCTTCGATAACTTAAGACATTCATTAATAGTATAATTAACTCCAAGATTTGTTTACGTTTAGTATTGTTCAGCGGGCCAGATTATTTATCGGTCATAAATTCAAACCTATAATAATAAATGGTTGGGAAAAAAATTTTTTTTTTTTTTTTAAACCTATAAATTCCGACAGAGGGGGAAAAAATAATAACAAAATTAGTCTGATTTATGGAATATAAGATACAGGTATCACTTATTCTACGTTAATTAAATTTGATGTATTGGTATCCCCTACTCATCGGCAAAGAAAACAGAGGGTGTAGGCCAAAGAGAAAAAAGCCGGTGAAAAACTCATCCACGAAAATTGAATCTGCCTCGGCAATTTGACTAAGACAGCTATTGCCTACTATAGTTTAGGTTACTACTGACTGACTCTAACGATTTATTGACGATATAGTTCATAGTTATTGATCCGACTCATATATATGGGTCTACTCATGGTATATAGGACTTAGACGCTCGTAATCAGCGGTAAATTTGTTGAATCTGACGATATGTCAACACTTTGTTTGAAGCTGGACGACCAACACTTAACTGGTTTAATAAGACTTTGAACAAAATTAAAAACCAGAACAACCGCCACCCAACTCGGTACAAAATCGTTCTGCGAATATGAGTGTGCATATGTCTGCAATGCAATATTTTTTTATCGGGAGTCGTACTTAGCGCTAAACCTCGTTTCTAAATCTTACCCCAAGATCATAAGCCCCCATAGAACGCCCTTGGCCTAATAGCAAAACAGCGCTGTCGCACGCCCACTTGTGTGGTTTCAGTTTTAAAAAGACCAAAATATTATAGCACTTTTGATATAGTGGATAGAAATTACATCGAGGGTAGATATTATTTATGTACAACTATCCCAAGTCATAACTTTAAAGAAATATAAAAAACACGCCAAAGTTAATAATATGAGTTTAAGATTCTAATGTATTTGTAACTACCGTCAAAATATATGTGAATTCGATTAAATAGGTGATAGTTGCTAAATGCAGTACTGGCCTAGTGGCTTCAGCGTGTGACTCTCATCCCTGACGTCGCAAGTTCGATACCCGTCTGCACCAATGGGCTTTCTGTCTATATTCACATATTATATACGCTAAAGAAAAACGTACGTGTAAAAAATGATTCTTTCATTAAAGCAAGACTGTGACAGGCACAGAAGGCTGATCATCTACTTGCCTATTAGAAAAATAAAAGATCACGAAACAAATACAGAAATCAGAGGCCCAGACCTAAAAAGTTTGAACTTGATTACGCAAAATGCTGGATGCAAGATAGATATAAACTTAATAAGTGGTGGTTAGATCATTATTTACTACCACTAGCGGATCTAACTGACGTTGTCCTGTACACACGTCTTACATACAAAAAAATCTGATAGGTAATGTAAATCATTCCCGACTCCACTTGAACACACAAAAAAATCATCAAAATCTGTCCAGCCGTTTAGGAGTTTAATTACAAACACATGCACAGAAGATTTATATATTATATACCAGCTGTTTAGATAAATAATCTAGATAGCCACTGCAGCGCCATCTGCCGGGCTTATTTGTGAATCTAAACCATCCAGGGCGCCACCCAAACGCTTACAAAAATTTTTATTCGAATCGGTCCAGCCGTTTAAGAGAAGTTCAGTGACATACGCAAATTCAATAGAATTTAAAAATATTTAATGATAGGGGTAACACATTGTACACTTACTTGTCACAAAGAAATACATAATATTAATGCTTCTAATTTTACATTTAGTGCCCGTTCTCAAATCAAGGGCGTAGAACGGAAGAGAAGAACTGCATAAACTCTCCGCCACTCTTTTTAATCGCCATTTGTCTTTTGTTAGTAGCTGCACATACCAGTTCCTTGACTCTGTTAATGAATAATAACACAAATTAACAAAGAGTTGTCCTTTTAGCAGGAGGCATGGCATTTATTGGCGTGGAACACGCAAACACATAGTCGAATATTACATACGCACTACGTAAAATACATAAAAAGATATCATACATATTATATGTATCTTTTTTTTATAACAGTCTTTTGTAGTAGATAAGCTTCTTAGAAGAACAACCATCGGTAATTTTACTGGTTTATTGTAGACATATATATAAAATTTTCACACTTTTATGTATTTCCGGCATTTAAATGAGGATATTTTCGTTCTTATTGATGGTTCATGGCGTAACTAATAATAACTCATGCCATTTATTGATGACAAATCGTAAACCTGTCAAATGTAACACATTCACTAAAAAGGCGAAAGATGCAACTGCATCTTTATGAACTTGTGTTAAAATCGAAAGTATAAGGATATGTCTCGGCGTGAGAGCGATTACACAACTTGAATGTTGGTCGGCGATAACGTAACCACGTTCGGAAGTAGCGCAGCCACAGACTACTTTAACTAAGAGGCGGCGTTTGTCTATGGCCTATATTCCACAACCACGATTACAATAGCATAAGTGACAATTTTTTAAATTACGATTTTTTTTAAATTAAGAACAAATAATCATTTTGTAGTAGATTCTGCAATTTAAGGTGATACGGTCCTAAGACTGGCCATTGTTTTTATGAAAAAAAAACATCACATCTTAGAAATATTTAAAAAACACACATCTACAGCATTTTTTTCTACAGCTGTGATACTTTTTGACATTCAACACCTTTTGTCTTCAGTCACCGTGACCACGCACGCTGTAAAGCACGCGAAACGTCGGTTAAATTTAAAATTATGTAAAATAATTGTAAATTTATAATACATAAATCCATAACTTCAATCCGGTAAAAAATTTTTTCTTTAAATATTTAGAATCTTATTTATTATAACTCTATATCTTTTATTTTTTATTTATTACGATTAATTCCCTTCTAATTATCTTCAAATAGTAGATAATAAAATAGATATAAAATAGTTACAAATAATTGATAATAGACATTTAAAAAATTAACTGTAATCGTAATCTCTACAACTGACTACTCTTTGTTATGCGCAGGCGATGCAACGCATCAGCTGATTTGAACCATGACGATGCGTTGATTAATTAGTGCAAATTTGTAACAAGTAAACCTAAACAAACCGAAAAAACATTTTTTTTAAATATTTTAATGTAAATTACCCTGCCTAAACAGGAAGTTTATAATAATACGGAAATCACGTAAACGTCAATACAGGTTAAGAGGTTTTTCTGTATGAAGGCTTTATTTTTTAGGTAGAAAAACAGTAATAAGAGAAATAAGCAATGCTAATTTAAGCATACACAAAGTGCAATGCAAATTTAAGAAATAAATTCACGGAAGCCAATTTAATTTCAACCTTGATAAATATAAAAAAATATTTAAATAAACTGGATTTAATTACAGTCCCAACTGACTTACCAGAAAATTGCAATGCGGTTATTCCAATCACCAACAACCACTGAGCGTTAGTCACCATTTTTAATTCACATTTATTTCAATATTAAACCATCCAAAATTCTTCAAATAAAAGCCTAAAAGACGTCCGTGTATGGGTTACGAAATTAATTGCCTAGGCGTGTATAACGTGCGTGTTCTGTTAGGAAACTGACGGCGAAAGTCTACATGATGTTGGGTTGACCCTCGCCCCTCTTGAGAATACAAAGACATTCCAGTAAATTGCATGTAATTTCAATCGTTTTGACATACACCATAATCATGTTATGAAACGCGACCTTGATAACGGTAAGGTGCGTTTTAAAATCGTAAGAGTATTTTTTAAATATAGAATTCCATATGCGTTTTAATTAATTGAGCGTCCGAGGAGCGTTCTTTTTTTAAATTTGTAACACTTTTTTGAAAATAGAATTAGTTTCGTTTCGTTTTTGTTTTTTTATTTATTTATATTAAACCAAAATTTACGCCTAATTTAACTTGACATTTATAGCTTATAAAATTTTGCACTTTCTTTTCTCCAGTTTTATTGTTCTAGAAAGAATTTTAGTAAAGAATTTTCACTGGGCACGTATATGTAATGAACACTTTATAATCGTTTGAGATGTTAAAACTTTATATTTATTAAAGTACTAAAGAATACAATAAAATTGAACCCCACGGACAATCTTTTAGATTGGCAATACAAATCATAATTACTTAAAAAATAATCCGTTACCAGACAATAAATTCATAAATAAACTAACCAGCGAAATCAAAAGTATAAAACTTTTTGTATTGTTAAGTGCAATATATAATTTTTATCAGTAGAAATAAATATTAATTAAGTATAACAAGATATTATAATTATCGGCTATGGCTCTTACCAACTTTAGTAATGAACTAAATCGACATTTAATGACGTCCGTACGTGTTCTTACCCAGTGAACTTGCCTTTGCGAAAATGTCTAACAAGCATTTTTTTCGTGTTTTATATATCAATTAAATTGAATTAAAAAGGCATTAGTATTGAGTCAAACGTTAATGCCATCATCAAGTATTTAAAAACACATTTTGTTTTTTTTATCAAACGCTTTAAAAACAAACTGGACTCCGGTCCTAGACAGAGTCGATGAATCTTCTGCAAACAGGGAGATTGTACTGGGTGGCGCAAAAGTACTGGCATTAAAGAAAATTTGTTTATTGAAGTGAAACTTCTTTATCGAAGTTGGAAAAAAATTTATTATTATATATTTTTTTATATAATCGTGTCAATAAATATATTTATTGACACGATTATTCCACGTTCTTGGGGAGTAAAACGGTCCATGCTTATTTTCAGTGTATTTTACATTTGTTCACTACACAATGTTCAACAACAGAATGAAAACTATCGTCATATAAAAAAAAAAATTGTGCGTGTACTAGGTCGAAAAATGATCTACTATATGCAACTTTACAGAAATTCGTTAAATTAGATAAAGTTTAACAAAAGGTTTTTATTATCATAGACATGAATACAAATATTTCATTTTACCTTATTACTACGAAGATTATTATAGAATTTCATTAATTGTAATAGAATTATTACTATAATTGAAAAACGTGACGATTTGCTACAAAATTTCTCCCATACGTCGATAAAGAAGTTTCATTCCAACGCCGATAATGAAGTTTGACTTCAAAAAGCAACATGGCGCGTAACGGAAAAATGTGACGCGTAACGCAAAAATGTTACACTAAATTTTTTTCCAACCCCGATAAAGAAGTTTCACTTCAAAAAACAAAATCTAGTTTTCTAATTTAGAAAAAATGTTATAGCTGAACCAAATAGGGTCTTTACTTTTGCGCCACCCAGTATATATAAATGAAGTATCATACAATGTTCTTACACTAAAATAGTACAAATACTAGTAATTAATATTAAAATAGTAGTGTAGGGTTTTAAATTAAAAAAAAATGCGTGTGTACAAAGTACACATGTCAGAAGTGAAACGTCTTTGGCAAAGTAATTTTTAACTCTTGTTCATATTTATACAAATCTAAAACTTTAGATTTCCGAGACTTAGAGGGAGGGAAAAAGGAAGATATGTTAGGAATTAAATGAATTTAATTACCTTTAAAATATTTAAAGTGTCAAATAATACAAATTATAAATTCATTTTTTTAAATTTATTTCTTCGATAATTGAGATTTCAATAAATTATTTTGCATAAAATATAAAATACTAATATTTCATAAATTCTCTTTACGAAATTTTAATTTTAAAAATATAATTTCTATAAGGTAATTCACTCGATTGAGACCGATTGAGAGAGGGTGAGAAAATCGGTCTCAATCGCTTCACATCAAAATTTTACCCTCAAGCGCCTAAAGAAGTTTCACTTCAAAAAGTATTACTCTTGAATCATCGATTTCTTTTCTATCGGACAGTGGATTTTGTAGTATCCAAACGTTATTTTATTTAAACAAGGTTACTCAGTGCAGTATGGGCCCGGTAACATCCGCAATTATCGTATTTCCGTATAACTGAATGCTAATTGTACATGCCTATCTGCCTATTATATATATTACTAGCGGATCCGACAGACGTTGTCCTGTATACACGTCTTACATACAAAAAAAATCTAATAATATACATCATTCTCGACTCCACTTGAACACACAAAAATTTAATCAAAATCTGTCTAGCCGTTTAGGAGTTTAATTACGAATACATACACAGAGGATTTATATAATATATACCAGCTGTTTATTTGCTGTATAGATAAATAACCTAGATACCGATGAACCATTGGGTATTTTAATCTAAACCATCTAAAGGATGCCCCCAAAGCATGCAAAAATTCATTAATGTCCAGCCGTCTAAGAGGAGTTCAGTGACATACACACGTACAGTAAAATATATATAAAGATAATGAAATGCTGTTTATTTGTCTCGCTAAAACTCGAGAATAGCTGGACCGGTTTGGCTAATATTGAAATATTTGTGGAAGTATTAAGAAACATGTATAGTAAAATAAAAAAATAAAAAACATATATTATAATGTTTTCCCGTCTAATATATTTTAGATAGACGATTTGTAAATGTCGTTGAGGTTTTTATTGAATTGAATGAGTATATTTTTAATTAAATTCCTAAACTGATTTTGATGAATACCTGTGTTCAGGACAACGTTTCGGGTTCACTAGAATATCTCTATATATATATATATACAATTGTCGTGGCACACCCCTCCCCCCGGATTTCAACGCTACCTCCCGACCGATTCTTATGAACTTTAATGCATATTCAGTAACTCTGAGAATCGGCTACTATCAAACTCCTATGTTTATAAGTTTGTCACTTTGTTTGTCATTTTATTTTTTGTTTTTTGGATAAAACTTTTTGTTTTTAGATTTTATTATATCCATTTAAAAAAATACATATAACCCTTAATTTTTACCCCTTTACGATAAACCCCTATTTTTTGTTAATTAAAACTTATGACTTGAACTCTGAGGTTTATATAGAGAAAATCACAGAAAAACCTAAAAGTTTTCATTCCAGAAAACCGAACAGTCTCTGGGGTAGCATAGCAAAATGTTCCATGTTGATATGTACTAAAAAGGTAAGCTAAGTAAAATCACATTAAGGAGAAAGCTCGAAGTTCGCGGGGGCAGCTAGTAATTTATAAACAATAAACTACAAGCTCCCACCTTTTCAGAATGCCAAATCATAAAATGACTGCTTCAGGACTGATTTGAGAGCGACCGCCGATACGAAAACCGCTGTGTGAGTTCGAAAAGTGAGTTACAGAATCGCAGGGCAGAACTGAGTACTTTATTGTCATGGGTTCGATCCCCGGCTGAGACAAACATCGATGTGATGAGCATTTGGTGTTGTGCTTAGGTCTTGGGTGTTTAAATATGTATTTATATGTCTATTTATCTTTAATATGTATGTATAATGTATATCCGTTGCCTAGTACCCATAACACAAGCTTCACCAGCTTAGCATGGGACTAGGTCAATTGGTGTGAATTGTCCAATCATATTATTATTATATTATTAGATTAAGTTTTATTTATGTAACTTAAATAAGTGTTATTATATTGTACTGGGTGTCAGCAATAAAGGCTGAGTAATAATAAAACTGTATATCCTTATGTGTTGACCCAAGTTGAAATCTACATAAAATTAGTAAAAATACTACCTAAAATATCTGTCACTTAATACTTAATATCTTGAAACGGATATGCTGATTTTACTGCTAACGTAATATCCTGATTATCTGTTATGCATCCTCGATTTATATTACGAAAGGTAGGCGTTAACGAACCTTCATACTTTCCTCTATGCGTCACTACACTTAGAATCCGGTAAGGTAGAGTTAATATGAAAGACCTTTTGTATCCAACACAGGTTTCAGGTCCATTACAGGACGTTCCGATTCGAAACCATTACTCAACCTTTATGATACTCTCCTAATGTCAAGTAGTGCTTTGGTTGACGAAGACACTGTCTCTGCCGTATTCTGGGTATGTACTGACCCGAGAAGATTTTCAACGAACAACTCTAAAAGCTCCTCCGAACTCCGTTTGCCTGGCACGTCAAGGGACTTTAAACAGGCGCTTGGTGAAGAGAACCGGAAGTACTAGAAGCGGGAATGAGGATCGGTGTGGATGCTCTCTACGTTCAGACTCTCAGGAATCCAAGTCAAGTAAATCATAACATGGCTTTAAGATTCAGAGTCAAAGTTGTTATTTGATATATGGGAATAATTATTAATCACTAAGTCTGACTCTTTGGATGGCTGACCTTCGGGTCTTGCCCATGACCGCTATACGGTATGCGCACTTTGTAATGTATGTGTTTAAAAATATAGATTATAATATATTATTGAAAGGTGAATGTAAAACACTGGCGGCCCGTCCGTTCGTTACAAACATATTTACATGCAAATCTTTTCTCTTTATAATATTAGTATAGAAGTATAAATATATGTAAATGAAGGCAAAACTTGCAGCAACTAATTAGTAAAGATTTAAATAAAAGCGCTTTCTTGTGAAACAATTGTATAAACTACTGAGTTATACAAATTTTTATAATTTTGACATTCTATGTTTAAGTACAGTAGAACACTTCGTCACCAAGGAGGTTATCAGCGAGCCATCTCTATATAGAAGAATTTAAAAAAAACCGAAGGGTTTCGAGGTGCATTTTTCTAAAGAGGTTGAAGATTGTAGTCCTTATATTATATAAACATTGATTTTTGTAACTTGGCCAAAAAATAGAATTTTCGCAATTTGTAAAAAATGAAAAATCAAGATCAATCATTACAAACGCAGTTGCTTAAAATAGTAATTTTACTGCATTTTGGAGTCGTATATATTTTTAAATTTGAGGAGTGTTGGCCTAGTGGCTTTAGCGTGCGACTCTCATACCTGGTCGTAGGTTCGATCCCCGACTGTGCACCAATGGACTTTCTTTCTATGTGCGCATTTAACATTTGAGGAAACCGACATGTCTTAGACCATAAAAGTCGACGGCGTGTGTCAGGCAATGGAGGCTGATCACCTACTTGCCTATTAGATTTAAAAATGATCATGAAACAGATTCAGAAATCTGAGGCCAAGACCTAAAGATGTTGTAGCGCCACTGATTTTTTTTTATAAATTTATAAAATTAAAAAGTCAAATAAAGAATGGGTGTATACTTTATCCCCCTCAAAAGAAGTTGTATTAAAGGCGTGTTAAAATATAAGAACTTTCCACCTAAAAAAAGTATAGGCATTGTTATGAATATTTGAATTATTAGAAAGATTGTTTGGTTCATTTCAAAACTTGGAAATTTATTTAGTAGTAACTATTAATTATAAAGTCTTAATTTAATTTGTTGCTTAAAAAGTTATTAAATTTTTTATTTTGTATTATAACTTATATTGGATTAAAAATAATTTTAGTTATCAAATTAGTTTAAAAATTAATAAAAGTGGTTATTTCAAAGAGCAATTTTCATAAAAATAATATTGTAATTAATTTTAATATTTAAAAAATATGTGAAGAGAAAATTATTTATTATATAAAAATTAATTATATTTTAAATTTAAATAAAATCATTAATTTCGTTAAAATTAATAATATATATAAAATTAATAAAATTTAATAAAAATATTAAAAAGTATATTTTATAATTATTTAAAAAAGTATTTATACTAATATCTATTTTGAATTATTTATTTAAAGATATTTAATAAAATTACTTATTTTACAATTAAAAAGCGCAAGACAAACTTAAAATATTTGGATTAACCTCAAAGAATCCTGTTTTATAATATTAGCTTCTCAAGAGTAGAAATCGAAAAATTTATGTAATATATGGAAATAAAATGAAAAATGTTGTTTATAAACAAGTATTGTAAATAATGAGAAAACTTTTCAATAAACTTTTTTTACTTTTTAGTCATAGTTTATTTTTTTATTTGATCTACCACTCATTCTACTCCTGCGGGGAAGGGCTAGTAAATTTATAAAAATAATTATCTGTGGAAGCGTATTCACGCATGCGTATTCAGTGCGAAGTTTTGGCGCCCTTTCTTCAGTGCTTTGTAACTAATATGGTGAATGTTTTTCATTAAAATTTCCTACATTATAACTACTTAGAGCTAGAGCTAGCTAGTGTTTAAACTGGATATTATAATGCTAACCGGTGGTCATTTAGTGGTTAATAACATAGTAGCAAATCCTTACTGCAATATTTATTGCGTAAAAACCAACTGCTCTCTTTCAAAATATGGATGTGTTTAGTAAAAACGTATATTACCAAGGTTTTTAGGTGTTAAACAACTTTCGTGTTACAAGGATCTTTCTAGATGTTTTTAATACGAATTTAAATTAACGTTGCGTTATATGAAATTACTCAATACGCAGTCTTAGAGAAATAAATAATAATAAAACATTTAAAACTTATTAATAATATAAAAGTTACATCGAGCTTTGGTTAGATCATCTTTGGTTAACATTCATCAAGAATAAATAAACTAATTAAATTTTTAGTAGCGGCCATTTTGGAATAACTAACATATGTGTACCGCGGAGTTTTTGTTAAATTATTAGCATATTTCGAATAGTTCGTAATTCAAATCATAAAGTAGCTCTTGCTAAATTTCGTTTCTTATATATAACGTAATAAACTATATTATATTTATTTGATGTAAAAAAATCTTTTCATCCAAATAAAGAGGTAGATAATGATGAAATTAGTGAGTTGTTCTCATAAGAGTCGTCGTAAACATCAGAATAGTTTGAGGAATTGGACGGTCCACGTGCATACGGCGATTCGGAGTTCGTAGAAAAGAAATATACGCCAGATTCACTGAAAAATAAACATGACCTATATTATTACATAATAGTATTATATTCAATACATTTGATAAATAAGATCAGTCGTTTGCGTTAGAGGTGGAAAAAGGAATGTGCTGATCTTCCTCTAATTTAAAAGGATGAGGCCACTGGCCAGTCGAATACCAAATGTCGAGAAATAGTAGAAATCCTTAACGGTCGAAATATGAAGCCGTAGTTTTTTTTGGAACGGAATCTCTCTGTTGGCCTTAAGGGCCTTTACAGCTCAGCTCATCCCCGAGCGTAGCTCGTTTTGGCGAGCGTAGCTCGACCTGAATGGGCGTTTTTCCGCGACTAGCGCAAGGGCGTCTCCTGTGAGACTCGAACCTCGGCTTGGGCCAATCGCCAGAAGAGCAGGACGGAAGATCACTGGAGTGAGCGAAGTACCCAGTAAAGGTCCAAAATACAGCCTTCCTCGGTGAAGGTTTTTTTTACCCTAATCTGATTTTGGCTATTATTATTGTTGGCCGCGCGGGCGGCTTTTAATTTATTGTTAGCTAAAGTCGTTAATGAAGTCGTCGATTATAGGTATCGGTATATATGTGGTTTGCACTATATACCTATATAGTTAAGCTTCTATTTACTTCTATCTTCCAGTATACATATTTATGATTTTATTTGTTAAGAATACGGAAAGAATCTGAACAAGTACTGTGAACAATCCGCAGTTATTTGTCGCCAGTATAATGAGGAAGCGCATTCATTGAAATGAAGTGAAAGTATAAACAGGTGTTTAGGTCTTAATGCGTTTGTAAAAGATGATGTTATCGAAATCGAAAGTGTTATCTTTGGGGCTCACTTAGTTTATGAATGTACTTTTGAAATTCAATAGAAGCGTTATGCTGACGTTTAGCGGGAACCGAAGGGCGATGTGTGATAAAAGTAGTATGGTCATTTGTCGGTAATTTGGTGTTCGCGAGAGGTAAAAATCACTCTTTTCACAGTATATTGTACATCATTTTATACCCTAATATGCTCTAAAAAAAGATCGTGCTATCAAATAAACTTCAAACAATGCCATTCGTGTTTAGTTAATTAATACGTTGAGGATGTTGATGGGGCTCGCCATGGGCGGATCGTGAATTTGTGGGGCTCTGGGCTCTTATGCGAAAAAATGCACCGACGGAAAACAAGCGACGGGAAATTCCCCGGTCCGTTCGACATACGCGCATCGCACATGAGTCGATTGATCTCAAGGATTCCAACCTTGTGATTGGAGTTTTTAAAATTGTAGAAATTTTTTTTAGTTTAAAATATCGCCTATTGTTTTCAGTGGGGACTGGGGGCCTCTTTGTATTCAAGGGGCCCTTGGCTGCAGGCCAAAAGGCCCTTAAATAGATCCGCCCCTGGGGCTCCCTCGCTATTGCAGTGCGTCTACAGTGTTTGGTTATGCAGGTGTAGACTGTTTTTAGGCTTGTTATGCGCAAGCGCATCGTTATGCGCAAGCGAGCTGTATCTCTGTTAAGGCGCATGCGGGGGAGTCCTAACAATTTACTGGCTGTAATAGTGGATTGGATTAGCGGAGACTAGATTGCCCTTATATGGCCCATTGGAATGGACTCAATGTGCCTACATGGTAAAAAAAACTATGTGTGCGAGGGTCGGAGATTTTATAATTAATTTAATAGTCGTTTTTTTGTTAAAGCTAACAAAAAAATCTAACAATGACAATATTGTAACTAACACAACAATAACCACATGGACTTATGCTGCTTATCTTACCGTTCTGTTGTCATGTATATTTATTTTAAGTTTTAGTTTCTGTAAAGCCTATGATCGACGGGCGTGTAAGACCGTGGTTTTAACTACCGACGAACCTGGCTCGCGGCTCGTTGGTGCTGATCGATTAGCAAGCAAAACAGTCGCAAACATGCCAGCCAGACGAGCCAGGCTCGGCGGTGTTTAAAACCGTGGTTTTGCAATGATACACCGGCGAGCTTTACCGACCATAAAACCGCGGTCTTACTCGTCCGTCGATCAGGACCCTTAAGACCGCGCCTTATTAAACGCCGCATCCAATAATCATTATTTTTGATATTTTTCTATGTATCAGCTGTTTGCTTTCTAATCAGTCAATAACCTACAATTGTAAGTGTTTATGTAACATCTTTTTGTCCTAGGCGCGACAGACAGCCCCTTGTGCAGAGGCTGTTTCAGCGCAGAGGAATCAGTCACCCACGTAGTCCTGGAATGCGAGGCTGTGGCTAAACAACGTGCAAAAATCCTCGGAACAGTGAGGTCTCTCCGGGAAGCCTGTGAAGTGCCCAGGAGACTTCTGTGCTTCTGGAAGGAGCTGGGCTGGCTAAATTAGCCAGGACTTAACGTACAACGGACCAATTAAGTGTCTTAAATTGCGGAAACTGAGTCCACCAACCCTAACCCCTAACCCTAAGTGTTTATGTATCAGTCGAGCAATGACAGTCATCGTTATATGGATCGCGGTGTTTCGTAAACCATTTGATGCATAAATGTTTTTTGTTTCGCCTAGGACGATTTTTCAAGCAATTTTGTTACATCAATTGCCTTGTCCATAATTTTATAGTTAACACACATTTGGATATAGTTTATATCTGTTCATCAGCCTCATTGTTCTAGTGTTTTTTTTTTTTATAGAACGGGGGCCAAACGGGCAGGAGGCTCACCTGATGTTAAGTGATACCGCCGCCTATGGACACTCTCAATGCCAGAGGGCTCGCGAGTGCGTTGCCGGCCTTTTAAGAATTGGTACGCTCTTTTCTTGAAGGACCCTAAGTCGAATTGGTTCGGAAATACGTCAGTGGGCAGCAGGTTCCACATAGTGGTTGTGCGCGGCAAAAACTGCCTTGAAAAACGCTCAGTTGTGGAACGGCGGACGTCGAGGTGATACGGGGTGGAATTTCGTATTCTGCCTCGACGTCCGATGATGAAACTCAGCTGCAGGTATTCTTCCGAACAACGATACACATTTCACGATTTCGATTTCCGGGTGGAACCGAAAATAAACATCATGCATTTTTATAAAGTATACTTACTTTTTGGAAACATATTCACCGACAAGTATCTCATCTTCTGTGCCAATAAGGTGGCACAAACCCAAGATATATGTAAACCACGAGTAGCATTTTGAAGCGTAGAAGCCAGTCTTCGTTGTTATAGACTCTGCATAATACAATGGAGCTCTGGAGTGACTGCAGGCGGATTCGGCTGGAAATTTTAATAAAAATATAATCCTAACAATGTTTTTGAATCCGATAGGTAGCGATTGTTCTAGGCGATATAAGAAGAGTTTGATAGAAATCGATTTACATTAAAGAATACATAAATACGCTAAGACCTTAGTGAAAAGGTCGCTCGTTGCACCAGGTTATATATTGTTAATTAATTTAAAAATTAACTTCCTTTGACTCCCATGAACGACACTAGGAGTAAAATTTCGTAGTTATGAGTTTTAGAAGTTTTACCCTAAGCTAAAAAATACCTAATATATATATTTGATTTGTTTTTATTTTAAGGGTAGACCACGCAATATACATAATATTATCTAACAGGCACGAGAGAGGTCTAGAAAAAAATCTGATGGATATTGCTTTGTAAGATTTAGAATCAATTGATATCGGGGATTGGTAAATGTGCAAAATAGTCTTGACCTATGTATGTATGTCAATTAAAGAAGTTTTAATTCCATATAATTGAGTAAACCAAAGATATGTAACATTATTTTGGCATAAAAAACATTATATCTAAAGGAATAATTGTTTTTTTTATTTGAAGGTCTTAGTCTACGCAATACAATTAAGAATTTGAATAGTAATCGTTAATAAATAATTAGTTTTCATAGAAATAATTAAAAAAATTATGCATATATTATATAGAAACAATGTTGAATACTAATTTATTTATATTAAAAAATCCTCGTATTAATGTCGCATAAAAATACAGGACTGCTCACAACTATTTGTACCACCCAGTTTAAGATATAGTTGTTGACATACTATTATACCCTTAGTATGTAAGCAACATTGCCTACCTAGTATGCTAGGTAAGCAAAAGGAAGGATCACGAATATACCAGAGTTAGTCGATAATAATCGGTCTTAACCAAGACACATGTTTTCTTTCTTTTGACGTGACAACGTCTAATAAATCAATGAACACCGGCTGCATGCACGAAAAAACATGACTTATTGTCCCGTTACGATCATTGCATACGCATGCGCCCCATCTCTCTTCCACTCCAAGACTTAAGTATGCAATCATTTCACCAATGTTTTGTTATGCCGTCACGTTAATCTAGCGTCCGTAAACGGACTTTACAACATAGAAATGACAAGCTACTGTTTGGACAGTCTATAACCACAGACGAAAGGACTCAGATTACAAATGATTAAAAATATAACTGTGGTAGAGATTTGTTTATCGAAGGATTATGAATTAAGTTAGTCTTTAGAAATATTATGACTAAGTCAGCTATAGACCTAAGAAATATTTTTAAAGGGGTATTTTAAATTTCTGTATAATTTAATAAGTAAAGAAAAGTTTCCTTGTATAGAAAATATTCTTCTATACAAGAACCCAGAATAAATCCAGTACTTACTTTGATTTTCAGTAGATGAACAACCCGGTTGATCTACGCCATTATTAGCAAAGATATCTAAATGGCCAGAACGTTCCAATTTTCCTTTTTGTAACGAATTCGTATGAAGTACATCTACGAATTTAGCATCGCTAGCATCTATTTTCTTGTCTTTGTCCAGTGTCACGAATAGCGGTAAGGCTGGGTCGAGTGCTGTAAACGATTTCATCAATTGTATGTGCGAATAAAAATATTGACTGGATATGTGCTTTTTTCTTTGTAAATCTAAATTATATTGTTCAAACTTCTAATAGGATATAAACTCTCTTAATATGATTAATATTTTATGTGTAACTTAAATATAAAATGTATAGCTCAACTCATGCAAGTAAAAAAAATAGAGCAAATCGCTCACCATCTAAAGGGGGGGTTTTAAGAAATACCAACTTAAGAAAACACTAAATAGCACGCATAATGTATGCACGCACGCATGTGTACAGACGAAACAAAATTACAAACTTGCAAAGTTAAATTTTATTTCGTAATAAGTACCTGTTTTTATCACCTACTAAACGGAAAAATTACATTACGTTATAAACTTAACAAAACCTTGATACAAGGATACCAACCTGTTATTCTCACAATTTGACCTGACTGTATATAATTAGCAATAAACCCGGCTGCCTGACCACCAAGACTAAACCCTATAACGTGAATGTCTTCCAGTCTGAAGCCTTCATTCACCAGCTCATCAATCAGGAGGGCTGTGCACATACCTACCAGCTCTGTATTGGCGGCTGCTTGGATGTAGCATGGCTCTAAAGCTAATGGATTATAGTCTATGGATATGATGTTGTAGTCACAGCAATCGAAGTATGCTGAAAGGTTTTAAAGGTTTATTAATTACAGTAGGTAAATTCAGAAAATAAATTATAATATTAAAAAAGCCTATATGTTTTTCATTTAGACATTAAGTTAAGCCTCTATTCTAGTCTAGCCTTATTCGTTTCATATACTTATGTTATTATTCACATAAATATTTACATTACGTTTATAAACTTATTTATATGCTAAATAGTATATATCGGAGCAATGGCACTGGTATCAGCTGCCATTGTCATTATATGTCTCAGAGCTCGTAAATTAACCACGTCAAAGTCTTATCAGTTAATTACTGTTAATACTTATGGTTTATTCGATTTGCCAATATTATTAGATCAATAAATTAACAGACTATTGGATAGTGTAGTAATAGCAGTTTTATAGTCATTATTATTAATGTCGGAGGAATGGCGTTAGTGTCAGCTGCTGTTTTCATTATAATTTAATAACATTAAAGTCAAACTATTTAAAAACCGATAATACTATTGGTTTATTTGATTAGTCATTGTTGCAATAACTACAAATTATTGTTGATTGTGATTGACTGTGGTAATAGTACTTTCATAGTCATTATTATTAATGTCGGAGCAATGGCGTTAGTGTCCACAAACATTGTAATTATAATTTAATAATATCAAATTAAAATTTACAAAACGGTTGTTACTAGTGGTTTATGTGATCTGTCAATGTTGCTAGATCTATAAATAATGACACACATAGTAATTTTTATTTAAAAACAATCAATATAAAAGTAATCTTTGACATTCGTTCCTATGACTGCCGTTTGACTCTAGTCGATTCGGGTTCTGTCACGAAACGAGTACACGAAACTTATTTATCAAAAATTCGGGACTGGCACATTCGGAACTAGTTGGTGCGGCCCTCAGTTCGATTGAGCGGTCAAACAAAGCAGAAGCCTTTAAATGTACCTTCAAATGTCGAAATTACTTTGTTGGCATCTAATAAAATTTTAAACTGAAATCATTAATTCAATAATTTACAGGTCCTGTTTTTGTTAATATTCAGGTCATGCTTTCTCGTTATTGTGCCTAGTTCTACTTCCCCTTCCACTTTGTCTGTCTTAGCGTGGTTTCCCGTCGGTTGTCTTTGTGTTTCTTTTTCGTATTATCCGATCTGACACCGTAGTTTAAATAAATAAAAGTATGATGGTAAATAATTTAACAGAAGACTCGCACTTTATACATTATATTTCCTGACAAATCATAATTTTCAGAAATTGATTTAACACTGATAATCAGGTCGTAACGTCGTATTATAAGACGTTATTGTCTTTATGTCAATTAAAGAGTTAAACGTTTAGGACTTACTTACTTTTCCTTTATCGTGTAATTGATTAAGTAATTGTTTATTAATCTCAGATAAGGTTAAGGCTGTTACACTATCTTGTAGGTAAATAAATCTGGGTTGAGGACAAGTCAACAACTTCCAACGCCTGACAGTTTTAATACCATAGTACATACTTATACCTGTTCGTACCTGGTCGTATTTCCGTGTTAGGAGAGAAGTCTCTATGCCCCGTGTAACCATGGATTAGAATTTTGATTGGAGCATTCTTCACCCACGGAGCGGAGCGTATCGATTCGATATCTTTTGTTTTGATTTCCGTGGGAGTATCTGCTGTTTTCCTTTAAACGACGAATGATACATTAATCGGCTGTTATTTTGTATCAACTTGCATTAATTATTCAGTTATGTTACAAAAATAAAATTAAAAATGTAAGTTTATAAAATGTATTTATAAATAATATCTTATATATTTCAGTTTACGACTAAAACAAATCATATTGAGTATACATAAACTATCATTTATCTTTCTATCTTTATCTATATCTATGGTATTAATCCTTTAGTCGTTGGCCTATATAAAAATCATGCCAGGTCACGAATCCACGACCTCAGCGTTAAACATCGCTTATTTAACTAGACTAACGAAGGAACCGAATTGTATATTTATTTAGAAAATACGAGTTTCGCTACTACCCTTTAGATCTGGACCTCTTTTTGTATTTTGTAATACGAAAGTAGGTGATCAGCCTTCTGTGCCTGACGCACGCATTCGGCTTTTTAAGTTTAAGGCATGCCGGTTACTTCATTTCCTTCACCGTACGGGCGAGTGGTAAAATTGTTATTTATTCGTCATGTTTATTAAAGTGTTAAAAAGTAAGTCAAAATCAATTTTTTATAATTAAAATGTGTTTAATAAATAAAAACGACGTACCGTGTATATAGCCAAAATGTAATGTTTTCATTTGGACATAATAGAGGCGGCGTAACACAGGAGGATCCAAATATATCCAGACCACTGCCTAAAATTTAGTAAAAGTTTAAAACAATTGAATTTTCATATCCAAAAAATATGTAACACACAGTACAAAGGTCTGTAATGAATTGACATCCCTGCATTTCACTTATAAGAATACCATAGCTAAATCATAGACATTTTATCTAAAAATTAAAATACAAATGGTACTTACTGAATTTTAATGAAATACATATTACATATAAGTAGTGTAACATCTCCCTCAATTAAAATAAACTACGAACAATACTCAGTCTTTCCGTCTACGTATTTTTTATTTATATAGGTTACTGTAGTCTTAAGATCTTTTACGAACTGTCGGCTTTTGACAATTTTATCAGTGTTATTGAACGAACTAGATCAATTTACCTAGACGAGTCTTCAAATATACAGCGTGTTCTCATGAAGTTTTTGGTACAATTGTGGAAAATAATTGATTGTTAAAGGTTCAGGGTAGTGCCTTAGGTAGTCTTGTTTTAGTAGTAGGGGTAGTAATGAGTACATCAGTAAATCGATACGGTGTAGATAGTTTTATTTAATGTATCTAGTTATATAGCTTGTATATATATCTATAGGTTCCTATACATATATATTAATTTTCTTTCTGAAACATGTAATTTGGTACATTCTATCGAAGCGTAGCAAAGACTCCGTGGCCGATTCAGGTTATGGTGCATTTCGTTTGTGATTAATCAAATTCGGATCGTCTCGCGTGTCTGATTGGTCTAAATTTCGTATTTTGTTTTAAATTCCGGGGCATTTACCTACAGTTTGAGCTTCTGTAAAGAAACCAATCAAAAATGCAAGTTTTAGGTGAAGTTATTAAGTGGAAGTAATAAATAAATAGCCAATCTTTGTTTATTTTTAATTCGAGATTTAATTTTTGTTTATCTGCAGTTTAGTTTAGTTGTTGTTCTTTGTAACCCGTTTTTCTATTTTTATTTGATTTCGCTTGTTGAGTTTTGCATATTGCAGGGACGATACCATTTTACTATTAAATATAAGCCTATTTAGAAAATAAAGAAATAAACATTTATTAAGACACTTTAACAAAGAAAAATAAAAATAAATATATTTTGTAGTCCTAATAATAATATTTGTGTTTGTCTGAATTTTGTGGTCCTAACAAACGGGTAAAAAATTATAGTAACTTTATCAAGCTTTGTCTTTTTGTTCCCACTGTATTTAAGAACTTTTTGTAAATTATGTAAATTGTCAGAACAGTGTTTAGTGATGTTATCGCAGTCAACCTTTTTGTTTTGTGGCCCTCATAATTACAGTCAAGGGCTCAAGCAATTGATAAAGAGAAATTATTTCATTCTTACCTTGTACTCATCTAAATAAGGACTGACGATAATTAGTTCTAAGATTACTGAAATATTAATTCATTAAATGAAACAGAATCCGTCAAACCAGTTTAATCTGATTTAACATTGATGAGCGTTCAATTATTCTATAGATTGAGAAATTTTGTGATCTACAAAACGCCTGCGTTTTTTTATTATTTTTATTATTAATGCCATTGAGTCCAGGGACTTTTTAAATCTCTCAAATTTTTACAAAAAAAAACATGATATATTATATTAATTACAATAAACTAGTCAAACGCGTCTCGCGAAATACCCCGGCTACATCGGTAATATTTTCATTTACAATATTCATGGGCGAGCAGGGCCGCAATTCCTCACGAGACCCGCTCTTTCAGTTTTCTTTGCCGCCTTTATATATTTAATATTTTTTACGTAGAACCGTTCCAGGCACGGTCTGTGCTTTATTAACATGTCCAGTAGGCCGTTACGGTCTACAGTCATCTGTATTTGTTGCTCCAGGTCGTGCCTGGACGATGCGAATATAGGGCAATTTAGAAGCACATGTTCTACTATTTGTTATCGTAAACATTGAATATTTTATCAATGTCATACTAAGCATTATGTTGGATATGTTAACACGTTCGTTGCATTACGAGATCTATCAGATCTCTTGCAGGACTTTTGTATTGTGCGTTGAACATAATCGTGTTTTTCACTCCTTGCGGGAGGATGTAACTTGTAAAGTTCTTTAAGGATGAGCAGCCTTGCGATTCTGTAACTCACTTTTCGACACACAGCGGTTTTCGCATCGGCGGTCGCTCTCAAATCAGTCGTGAAGCAGTCATTTTTGATTTGGCATTCTGATAAACAATAACTACAAGCTCCCACCTTTTCAGAATGCCAAATCATAAAATGACTGCTTCACATATTTGAGAGCGACCGCCATCGAAAACCCTTGTAGTTCGAAAAGTGAGTTACAGAATCGCAGGGCAGGACAAATATATATATTTGCTTCGTACTTAAAGCTGAATTCATGGACTTTAAAAAATAAATTAGAGATGTATTAGGTCCCTAACGCACAGTACTGTAATTGTTTTAATTCCTTGCGTTAGGAGATTTGTCGGTACTCGTGAAATCGTACGCCTCTAACAAGAGATGGGGATGGGATTTTTAGTGTTGTCCTAGAATCGACATTCGAAGTGCGGGCACTTTTGGAAATAACACTCGCGTATATATCAGGTGTTGATTATTTTTGATAAACAATGAGTGATTAAGTTTAAAAGAAAAAAGTGTAAAAATCTATTTTATTGGTGAGGTTTCTAACAAAAAATCAACGCCGGATTATACTGCTGCATCGTCAGTAAAATATTTGTTTTGGAAAATGTTCAAATTTGCCCCCATTGACTAATAATGACAGTGATTCTATTATGAAATATTTAACGATAAACCTTTTTCGTTGGGGCATACGCAGTTAAACACACTGACCTTCTAAAAAAACTAAACGAATTGTTAACATTTGCGCGTAATGTGCAAGCACTGTGCTTACCATGTTTTAATGAAAAACACTTTGCATAATTAATAAAACTTTTAGAATCGATAACTGAGATATTATTTTATTCCCATCACTACTTACTAAATATTGAACTATCTTCGGGTGCGGTACGAGATACAATCGATATCTATTTGTTATTTGTAGTTTATTCAAATGTCGTAACTGCGTGCGAACCTAGCAAAATATAAAGCAATTAGCTATCTTTCACCCACAAAAAATTCAAAATATATTCATTGTTTTTTTGGAAGATATAAATTATTTTCAAAAGTGTATTTTTAGAGCTGATTAGGTCTCAAACGCACCAGAGGATAGGCTTGTTACGAGATCTTTTAGGTCTCCAACGCACCAGCTGAAAGTTCTTTAAAAATGATGGCGCAGTGAACGTGTTAAGGGATAGGGATAGTAGATGAAGGTTCACACTTGATACTTAGCTCGTAAGTATGACTACAGTATATGAAAAATTGCATTCAGAGGCACAAACGTGGATCGCCTTATTATGATAGCCAAAAGGAGCATGTGAATATATCTACTACCTAACAATGTTTTGTGATATGACCTCTTTCGTATGTTGTTATAAATCATTATAAACTTTTTCTAATCACATTGTTATTATAGCAATAGCAGATTGCGTGTAAGCGAATATTATTTTTATTCGCAACGTTAGGGAACGGAGACTGCGACTGTGGAAGAACTGCTGCATCTGGCACAGGACAAAGACACGCTTTAAGAGACTGATGGCCAACCTCCCCATTACTGGAGGTTGCACTAAAAAGAAGGAGAATTTTATTGATATAATATTTAATATTAATCTTATTGAAATCTCTTATCCTCAACTTAATACAAAATATGTAAGTAATTTCACGTGAGATTTATATGAAACGCCGCTGTTAATTCAGCTATTTCAGTCCGATTTTAATCATTCTTTATAACCTGTTTACAATTAGTTTAATTAAAAACATAATTAAAACATGTCCTCTTGATAAGCTAACGTAAAACGTTTAATAAAAATTATCATGACAATTATTCTCATTTATGTGAATTGCCTTTTGCACATGTCATCGCTTTTTGAGTGTAAAATTCGCTGGTTTCATGTGTTCTTACTGTTGGTACTTAGTCGGGATTCGAAGGCTCAGTCTCTAGGAACTAAATCAAATTAAGGAGATACACACCTAAACAAGGTACAGATACCGGCAAACATCTTGAATAAATGTCCTTGCCTGCGCGGTGTTGCGCGGCGGCGCGGCGGGAGAGTGACGTGTCAATCGCGTGATTGGTAAATCAGTTGACGTTTGTGTCCCGCGCTGCGATACTTTCCCCCCTTGTTTAATGCTCAAGAAGTTTGCCGGTATCTGTAACAATGATTAGTCTACTTGACACAGCTACAAGCACTGGTTTTATCATGATGTCTTCCTTCACCGTACCGTATTCATTCTGCTTCTTCTTTTAGTGCCTCTCCATAACTGGAGGTTGGCCGTCTGTCTCGTGAAGTGTGTCTTGTCCTGTGCCAGATGCAGCAATGATGTTTCTGGTCAACGCGTAATTTTTTGCTAATTTTGTTTTTTTCTTGTATTTCATAAAAGATTCTTCAAGTATGTTTAATAATATATATGAGTAATTACCGTGCAATATATATGAGTAAGTACCTCTGTAACTACAGTTTTACACAAATTAATTTTCAGTAAGATCGTTTTAGTATTTAAATTTTAAATTAACTGATTTTAATGTTATGTTTTAATTATACTTCGCATCCGTAGTAACCAGGAATGTATATAAAGACTTTAATGTCTGAAATATGTGCTGTAAATGGTAAATAACCAGTAATTACTATTTACTGCACATATAAAACGAAATTGTTATCGCTCGAAGATAACGTAAGTATCGGAAAACTTTTATTACTTTAGTTTATGAATACCTTTTCCAAACGCACAGTCCTGAAACGTGGATTTAATACAATCTATATAGAATATTCTATTTTTAAAATGATTCTAAGAAGACAATTGCGTGCTTGCTGCGTCTGTATGTATGTCTATGGAATGAGTCGATGCGGAAGGAATGGAGGATCATCCATTCCTTCCACATCGACTCATTCCTTTTACACTCGAGTGATTGTATGCAAGGGACGTGTAATCTTCGATAATATATTTGTTCTGTAAATCTATACCCTTCGTCGTTAAGAATATTATATAATAACAATCATATAGTAATAGCTACTACTAAGAAGTTAATTCCGGTCTTATACCTCGGCACTAAAAGCTGACTTTCTTGCGTCAGGTCTCGTGAATTGATTTTGATAAATTTCCGAGCTATTGGAGTAGAGTTTGTCGTTGCATAACATTCTAATATCTCCTGCCAATATTTGCCTTAATTAATATTTATATAATTAAAATTTGAACATTTTATGGATGATGTATTTTTAATAAATGAAATTTTAATCGATATATTTGAACCATTTTCAATATATAACTTATTTATAGTCCAACTCAATTAATATTTGAATACCGTAGTTTACTAGGTTTGTAGGCATTTTTATAGTTCTGCTAATCAAATTAAATAATAATAATAAATTCCTTATTTTCTCCCATATAACAAATTTCCGCCTACTCTACGTAGAGAAACTTTTGAAAGAAATAAAAAGCAAGTTAAATTATTGTCATTTATTTTATATTTAAAATCAGTCGATTCTTACGAACAGAAGTAACATTTGGCACGTAATTCACTACATGTATGGCTTATGTCAACATACCATTAAAATCCCTGATAATAGTTACATTCAATTCTATCACATACAAAGTATAAATTACAGTAATAATAAAATTCAGTCTATTGTTCCAATTATAGAATATGATGTATATTATAGTTAATTTCATAAATACAATCAAAATTGTTACTTTAATTTCACGGTACTCTGTTGTGCAAATTTTTTGATACAAACATTTAAAAAGAGGTAGAATTTAATAATTTATATTTCATTCCAATTTTTAATTACAAAATATGGCTACAAAAATACAAATTACACTTTAATGCTACATTAATAGTATGTACAATATATTTACAAACATTACAGTGAAAAATGAGGTTCAAATTTAGGAAATAAGCACCTACAAAAATACATTCAACAAGATATGGCAAGATAAACTAGTCTAGAGATCTTGATACAAGATCGTAACATTTATGTACACGTTTCGGTATTTACAATTTTAAACATATTCTTCTGAAGGTTTCGGTGTTCCATTAGGAAGCCTTAATGAGGAAGACATGCGTCCATTTACTGAGTCTGGCAGTTCAGCAATATCCTTAAAGACGCCTATCATACTTTCAAAGTTAAGTCCCCAATTCAAATGGTAATCCCAACCCAACGTTGCCGGGGCTGGAGATCCATTGGCTTGCCTGTATAGAACTGCTCCTACATGTGGCGCTATATCATCATCCGAAGCGACTAAAGTACTTAAGGAACCACGAAAGGAGGAATCGAAACTTTCATATGGTGGTGGCAGTATCGGCTTTTTACTATTATTGGTACTAGTCACGTTAGGCCTTCTAACATCTTCGGGTTTATCGGCACTTAAACTATTATTATCATATTCTATTTCTGAACACGTAAAGCTGTCATTCCCACTTTCGTCGTCTGACCCCGTTGAACTCCTATTATCCACCGGTGGGGAATGGTGTCTATGGGACATATGGTGATTGACCCCGCCACTACGAGGCGCTTCACTAGAGCTTGACACAGCATCTAATGTGGATACTAAACTTGAAGTGCGCTGCCGGGCATTCATTCTCTCTATTTCCTCAGCAGTTAGCCCCACAGCTCCGGAGCCAACAGAAACTTGAGGCACTTGAGCCGATACATTAGGGGTTTTTCTTCCTGCTGACGAACTTTGTCCGCTTAACTGTGACATAACTGGACTATTTAAACTTCTTTCACTATTGCTATGTAACGCATCTTTACCAACACCACCGGAACTAGATGTTGTGGCTAGCAAAGCACTCTGAAGTGGTTTGCCTGAAATGTCATGCAGCGTTAATATCCTTGGCTGTTGGCTGAGCTCACTGCTTGGCGATAGTCGTGCAAGAGGTGTTGTTTGATGTTGTCTTGGTTGAGGAGGTGGCTGGGAAGCCTGTGGGAGTGCTCTGGGTGGATAGCCACTTGAATGATGTGGTGAATGCCTATGCTGTGGATTTTGGTGTTTGTGGTGATAGCTTGCAATCGGTGGCGGAGTTGCTTTGTATTTCCGTACTCCAGCTGCTTCTCTAAATCCTTTATAATGGTAAACTATATCTATATCCGACGGCGCAATAGAACTTGCATTTTCAAGGTCATAATGTTCAGGTACTTCAGAATTTAAATCCATGCCACTAGGGTGCTCGTGATTATGAGAATGCGAGGTATTAGTTGACGTTGGAGGTAGTACGTGATGATCGTCTCTAAGGGCTGGGCTTTTTCCTACTACTTCCCTTTCAATGATATCAGGTCTTTGGGGCCGTGGAGGATCAAGGTTCATTATTTCCCGGTCTTTATATTTTTTGGATAGTAGCTCCGGTCCGACAATATGACCCACATTTCGCATAATATCAGCACCTTCTGACATATAACTGCTTAGACTTGTTTCATTAGTGTGCATATTTCTATTTAATAAATTGTCATTTGTACCAGCGATTAAATTAGGTGCATTAAGCATAGCCGGTCCCCCGTTTTGCTTGGAATGTACAGCATTACTTTTTAGATTTGGAACACCGTTCTTTTCTTTTTTCTGTTTTCGAAGGCGGAAAACTATGAAAGAAACTAATATGGCTACTATTAGAATGATAAAGAATGATATGACTAGTGTTATCCCGATGCTTAATGGATCAGGGTTTTGGGCTAAGCCTGCTCCAAAAGCACTATGACATCCAGATATCACTTTTCCTTTACGGTTAACTTCTTTAAAAATGCTTCCATTTCCTGTGAATGGTTGGATTTCATGATTTACTGTAAAATTTGTGAGACAACCTTCGAATTTCTGATAATTTGATATCCACTCCGATTTGACACCACCTAATGATATAACTGTTAAGTATGGATCAAGAAAATCATGTACACTTGCAGCATCAAGCTCCTCACCGACAATTTTATTATCCACGATTAATTTAATACTCCTTCCATAGGCATACAACGTAACATTGTGCCAGTTGCCATCAGAAACATCGTGTTGCTCAGTTTGAGTCATATTCACAAGTGAACTTTGTTTTGAAGTGTAACTGACCTTTCCGTCAATTAATTCTACTAAGGTATAGTACTTATCCGTAGCAGCATAAAAAAGCAAACCAAACGGCTTATGAGATTTAAAAGAGAAAGATAAAGTTTTAGTTGGATTATTGGATTTAGATACAGTTTTACCATAACTTCTACTTGTTTTTTTATCCCACGTAGTGCTTCCTCCATAAAAGGATTCAAGCAGTTGCATACGTCTGTGTTTTTCGGAAATTGTGTAAAATAAAAATCCAGTCTCTGCAACAGAGATACTTTGTAATGAAGAGCCACAGTCTGATGAGATTATATTACCTCCGCATTTACAATAATTCGTTTTCCAACGATCAACACATTCACCACTGCCGCATAAATCATTCTTGTAACATGCTCCATTTTCTGATCTATCGCAATTTGCTTCAACGCCTCTTGCTTTCAATGGAATGGTTAAATTCAATAATCGGCCATTTACTGATATACTGTGCATGCAGCCTACAAAGTCATCAGAATGTATTTGACCTGGTCGTTCTAAAGCAGGATCTGCCTTTTCTAAACCACCAATAAGAAGAGGCTCGTTGTTGAAGTTAAGGGTGCTGAAAAAAAAAATTTTTTTCATTAACAATATCCTCCAAGTTGCAAAGTAAAATACGTTGCTATTAAAATGAAAAATTTAATTGTACGTGCAATATCTTAGACACACATATTACAACAATGGTATATTATTATAAATGAATTATTTATCGATAAAGTATAAATATTTAATTTTAATAATTAGAAGTAAAATTTCATTTATAATGTACATGTAATGTTACATATATAATGTGTTAGTAATTATTTTTTAGATTTTTAATAAAAGAAAGCGAACGAACAACAAAACAAACCACTCACAACAATTCATTATGGAAAATAAATAAAATTTAAAGATTATATGTTTTAATTACTAACCCAGCTTGACCAGTAGCATCATCATAGCAGGATTTGTCGCCTGGCTCACATTCTGTACATATGTCGCCGTGGTCTGTGCATGAAGCAATACTCAGTGAAATAACTCGCCCATTTCTTGTTGCTGTTAACTTATACCATTTACCGTCGGCTAAATTTCTTTCAGTGTCCGTAATAGCTACAGTTGTTATCGAGGTTCTCGCGCCTCCGAAGGAAAATACAGGTTTCCCTCCCAGTAGTTCTATAGCTATAAAATCTGACCGACCACCCGTCTGTGCTCCGTAGTTATACAATAGAAGGGCATCTGCTTTAGTTGTAGCGAATATCAAGGTAATGTCATTAGTCGATGCATCTAAGGCTGGGAACTGCATATATGACAGTTCATTAAAGCCAAACGTTGAGCTTTCACAATGTGTCCCATAGCGACCATTCGTACAGCTGCATTTATATCCTGGTTTAAGGCTAATGCATATTCCGCCATGTAAACATGGGTTAGGTCTACATGAATCAATGAGACCTTCACATTGATTTCCACGATAGCCCGGACGACATAAACAGAAGTATGAAGTTCGATCTGAGCTTTCTTTGCAAGATCCGCCATTTTTACAAGGATTGCTACTACATGCGTCATCTCTTTCTACTTCACAAGTTTTACCTTCATGGCGAGCTGGACATGAACACATGAAATCGTGACCTTGTTTTCGACAAAGTCCCCCAAATTTACATGGGTTTGGTGAACAAGGATCTTGACGTTTTTCACAGTTTTTACCCACAAATCTATCATTACAGAGACAGTTATAGTCATGCTCCACTGCGGGCGAGGCAATGATTAAGGCTGAACTTTCAATTACTTTTGTATCATTTATGACATTGATGGCATCACTGCATATGCCTGAATGTTGGCAAGGATTTTTATAACAAGGAAAGTAGGGTATTATGAGTTGTTTCTTTATTACTTTTTTTATTTCTGCCTCCTTAGACTTCAGGTGATACTCCGTATTTTCTTTTTTCCATATAGAATTACCCTCTTTTATTGCTATGGTCAAATCCAAACTATCTTTTGATTCATTGATACTATATATCGAAATTACTTCCTTATTCTTTAGACCAACTTTTAAAATTTCCAACAAGATACGGTAATAATGTGTCAAAAAATTTGTGGCAGTTATGTTGAGTATGCGGAGTGTGACGGATTGCTCTACAGTTTCGTTATCATATAAAAAGTACTCAAGACTTACTGATGAAATCACATCTCTGTGAATACCATCATTTCCAGAGACTGAAAAAGAATATCCTTGTCCTGGTTTTATAGAATTGGTATAAAGATCACATCCTCTTCGTATAGTTAAAAGTGAAAGTGTATTTTCAGTAGTTGTCTCTTTTATAATTTTACATTTGTAATCTCCTACCACATCAAGGTCATTTGGCTTAACATCGGCTATCTTGCCTATTGGTACTTTGTTGTTAAAGGCATAAACTAAAACATGAACAGATCTTGGTGTTGGCGGGTTATCATTCCTATCTAAAACCTTTACTTGAATTGTGTAATTTGATGTCATTACTGGGTTTCCACTGTCTTCGATTTGTATGTCTATTTCTAAGTAGGGAGTAAGTTCTCGATCAATTTTTTTAGTTGTAAGTAATACTCCTGTATGTTTGTGTACTTTGACAAAACTCTGGTGTTTTCCTCCTATTAGTTTATACGAAAACGGCGCGCCATTTGGTGGTAAATCTGGATCTGTAGCAGAGAGCGTAGTTATACTTGTATTAGGCGGTTCATTTTCATATACGGAACCATCAAAGTTGTCTGTATCAAAAATAGGTCCATTATCATTTATATCAGAAAGTGTTATTTTTACTGTTGCAGTTCCAGTTTGTGGTGGAACCCCAGTGTCGATAGCGCCTATTATAAGTGAATATGTTGACACCTTCTCTCGATCGAGGTATCTGCTAACCTCTATCAGCCCACTTTGTGGGTCAATTTTAAAATCATGGTTATCATTTCCAGATAGAATAGAGTAACTAAATTGATTGTTTTGAGGTCGTACATCCTTATCTACGGCTTGTACTTGAATGACATTTTGACCAATACGCGCTCCTTCGGACATTGATGTTTCATAATAATGGCGTAAAAAGACTGGAGGATCATTTCCATCTTGTATTGATATTATAACTTGAGCTTCATCAGTATCGTTGCCATGTATACTACCATAGTTTTTGGCCAAAACAGTTAGAACAACTCTATTTTGTGTTTCTCGATCTAAGTATCGAGCAACTCTAATAACACCGGTTTGAGAATTAATGTTAAAGCCTTTGTCGTTACTAGATCCGACAAACAAATAATATATGACACCATCTTCACCACTGTCTTGGTCACTTGCTTGTATTACTCCAACATTTGTGCCAACTTCTGCAGATTCCGAAACGTCAAAGTGAAAAACGGGCTGTACAAACTTTGGATAAAACTCATTTACACCAGTAATTTGAATTATAACTTCCGTCGTACTTTGCATCGTAGAATTCGGGTTTTCCGCTAATATCTGTAATTTGTATGTATTCTTTTCTTCATAGTCAAATATTTCTTTCGAATAAATCTTACCAGTGTTTTCATTTATGTAAAACAAAGCAGTCATTTTATTTTTTATTTTGTACTTGATAATTGCGTTCTTTGGAGAATCTATATCATTCGCCCGGACCTCATAAATAAATGTATCAATTGGTGAATTTTCAGGCAAATATGCCTGATAATGCGTCTGATTAAATACAGGTGCATTATCATTTATATCGGTCAGAATAATTGTCACCGTAGCCGTTGCTTCTTTTGGCTTAAAGCCTAAGTCTCTTGCAGTAATATTAAGTCTATATTCTTGCACTTCATCATAATCAAGTGAACGAAGAATACTTATTACACCAGACACTGGGTGGATTTTAAAGACGTTATCTTCGTTTCCTGAGGAAATCTCGTATCTTACAATACCATTAGGACCATCATCCTCATCATTGCCTTTAAGTGTTAATATTGAAGATCCAATGGGTTCATTTTCTGGAACAATTACTTGATAGCTGAGAGCTGTAAATTTAGGGCTATGAATATTTTCTCCTGTTACAACAAATATAAGGCTAGTTTCATCTTGCTGGGGTGGAACTCCACGATCAATAGCTTTTACTTTTATATTATAAAATTGTCCAACAATGTGGAATTGTTTGTTAACAATGATCCACCCTGATATCTTATCCACAGTAAAGTAAGCAGTTCCATTACCACTGAACACATAATATTCTATTTCAGCATTGATACCGTAGTCCAGTGTATCTTTTGCTTCTAGGTTAATAATTTTTTCACCAATCAAGGCATCGTATGGAACAGGAACAAGTTTTTCATGGGGTTCAAACTTTGGTTTATTATTATTGGCGTCAACAATATTAATCGTAACTAAACATTCGGATGACATAGGTGGTTTTCCATTATCAGTTGCAACAACGGTTACGGAATAAGAATTTTCTGGGGATGGGTATACCATTGTGCGTTTATAGTTCATTGTAAATTTACTTAGTATTTCTCCCGTTGCAGGGTCAATCGAAAACAAATCTGAAGTTTGTTGTAAAGAATAGGAAATGATTGAGTTTGGGCCTTGCTTATCTTTATCCGAAGCAATAACTTGTCCAACGAAGCTATTTTTCTTTTGTAACTCTGGGAAATTAAAACTATAATAAGAATATTCAAATTCCGGGGCATTATCGTTTTGATCTTGTATAGTTATAGTTAACGGAGTTTCAGATCTCCAAGCTCCATCAATAGCGGCAACCTTTAAAATATATTCATCCTGCATTTCTCTATCTAGAGGACGAGCTACTGTCACATTGCCAGTAAAAGAGTCGATAACAAACTTTTCACCCGGATTTTCAACAAAACTGTAGGTAGCGTTAGCATTTGGGCCAATATCTTGATCAGAACTCGTAACTCTTATGACAAATGAACTAATTTCAGCATTTTCCGTCACATTTACGCTGAAGAGTCTAGTAAATCTGGGAGGATTATCGTTTTTATCCGAAACTGTTACAAGAACTGTTGAAGTACCTGTCAGTTGAGGTGTCCCATGATCAACAGCTTCGACTATAATTTCATAAAATGGTATTGATTCTCGATCTAATGCAATATTTGTATAGATTTCTCCATTGTATGAGTCAATAACAAATGTTTCTTCATAGTCGTTTAAAAGCCTAAAGCTTATTCTACCATTTTCGTCCGAATCATCATCGTGAGCATTTATTTTCACTACAGTTTGTGGGGGCGATTCCTCTTCTGGAACGGTTGCATTGTATAAAATTTGTTCAATTACTGGGGCATTGTCATTGGCATCAGTAATTTTCACTTCAATTTCTATAAATGATTTCAAAGGTGGATTATCTGAATCTTTTACTTCAAACCATACGTCATAAAGGGGCATAGTTTCATAATCAAACCCTTTTCCAGTGATAAACACTTCGCCACTTATTGGCTCAACTCTAAGTGCATCTCCTACATTACCTCCTGCTACAGAATATTGTAATAAACCAAGGGCTCCTTTTTTGGGCGAAGTTGCTGATAGACGTGTTACTAAAACGCCTTCTGGTGTATCTTCAGGAAAAGTGAATGTCATTTTATTTGTTATAGTAAATTGTGGAAAGTTTTTACCTGATTTTGGAATTAAGATCAAATCTGCCGTACTCTGTTGCGGTACAGTTCCACTGTCTGTAGCAACTATTACAAGATTGAAAGCAGCTAATCCTCTAGATCTGTCGTTATATTTACTAAGATCTTCCATGGCTTTAATAACGCCAGTTTGCTGGTTGATATTAAATAAGTTCTTGTGTTCACCTTTTAAATCATATACAATTTTTTTATTTAGTCCGATATCATTATCTTTAGCCTTAACACCAAAAACAAAGTCGTTAGGTTTTGTTTTTTCGGAAATAAATACTTCATAGGTCTTTTGGGTAAACGTCGGAGTATTATCATTTTCATCATCTACAATTATTGTAACGTTGGCAGTTGCTGTCCTTGGGTCCGTCGTTGATGAATCCTGAGCCATTACTATTAAATAATAGACTTCCCACTCTTCTCTATCCAAAGTTTCATTTGTCATAATTGTTCCTGTCTTGGAATTGATGGAAAATCGTTCGGATTTATCCCCAAGAAGGCTATAACGAATTTTAGCATTATTTTCTATATCAATATCAATTGCTTTTGGACCTAATATAAAGGTTCCTGGTGGTGAATTCTCTTTGATATGAGCTTTATAATCTTGTCTTTCGAAATCAGGACTATTATCGTTGACATCTTGTACAATTACTTTCACCGTGCCCGAACCCGTCAAAGGAGGTGAACCTGAAAATAAATATAATAATTTGTTATTTAATAAATAAATTATTTTTGTTATTATTCAAATAAATTAGGTCAAAGGTTAAATATTTTAAATTTAACTTCAATACAATATAATATATGTTTATGTGATTCAGTCCTGTTTTAGATAAATAGTGTGACGGCATTCGTAAATCTATGAACTTTATTTACCTGTATCCATGGCAACCAACGATAATGTATATTCATCTTGAGCCTCTCGATCCAAAGTTCTCAGTAAAGATATTTGACCGGAAGACGCATTAATTTTAAATAGGTCTGCGTCGCCTTCCTTTATAAAGTAACGTACTTGGTTATTAAAAGGCGGCGAATCAGCATCATAAGCATGAACTGTTAATATAAAGCCACCGTTGGGTGGGATAACATTTTCCATAACATTAGCTAAATAAGGAGAATCTAAAAATGTTGGCGGATTATCATTTATATCCTGCAATGATATTGATAGTTCTGCTGTATCGAATCTAACATCATCTTTAGCACAATCTTCCGCTCTTATCGTAAGAATATAACGAGATTTTCGCTCAAAGTTCAAATTCTTTGCAACTCGTACAATGCCTGTATCTTCACTTATACTAAAATCTCTATTATCATCTCCATAATCTATTGAATATCTAACTCTACCATTTGCGTCTTCATCTATATCTGTTGCAGACACCTGAAAACAAAACCAATGCGTTACGTATAGTACTATATATTAATATCAAACCTTCATGAACAGTAATCTGGAAATCGAAGCCAAAACCAAGCTAGGCGCAATAATCTAAGTGCATAGCTCAATTCTAGGCGGTTATAACTGTTGAATTTGAAATGTCTATAAGGAAATGTAAATATAATTAAATATCACCGATATTCGGTAGTTAAGGTTAACACGTGAGCAGCGTTAGTAAAAAAGCAATTACCTTCGCGCGTACTGTATGTTTTACAAATGACAGAACTGTTCATTAGCGAGATCCGTTAGAAGGCTTAGCTTTATTTTTTATTAGTTTAGTCGAGTCATTAAATCGATCAAATGAAAAATTAACTTTTACCGTTAAAGAGTTTTTTATCAAATGTAGTCACGCTAAATTGATAAGCTATAACTGGATGTTCTAAGGACTTTTCAGCAAGCTTGCGTAGGTATTTGTGTCTTAGCATAACCTAGGAAAATAAGGTTCCTACATGAATTAACCAGTTCATATATTTTGTAATAACTTACTTGTAAAACACTAGCACCTATACTAGCATTCTCTGGCACTGAAGCACTGTACTGTTTTGGATCAAACACCGGGCTGTTATCATTCTCGTCAAGAATTTTGATATCAATTTTAGTTGACGTAATTTGTGGAGGATCTCCCCTGTCTTTTGCTTTCACGGTAATCGTATAAGATGACTTTAGTTCCCGATCAAGTTTCCCTGTAGCTCGTAAGATACCATCCACATTGCCTAAGGAGAAGTAGCCATTAATTTCTGGATCGGAATCCATGAAGTACTCAACATATCCATTTCTTCCTTCATCTTTGTCAATTGCTTTTATTGTCATAATCACAGTGTTTAAAGGTATGTTCTCGGAAACAGCTGTAGAATTAGGACTTAAAAACTCTGGTGCCATATCGTTTACATCCTTTAATTGTATCGTAACCTGGAATATTAGAGACAAATGTTATAGAAAACGTAGGAGATACGCTCGACTCGTTTCACATATTGAAAAGAATATAAAAACTCTAAGGTCTAAAACTTCTAAGGGGCCATTCAAGTATTACGTAAGCAGATTTACTGCAATTTATCCCCCCCCCTCATCTTGTCAGCAAAAGTAAGCAAAGCTTTCAAAAATAATTGCGTTTTCAAACATAGACAATGTTTGGGTAATATGTGTCAAAAAGTAAATAATAACTGTTGACGTAATCACCAAATAATAAAATCAAAGACCCCCTATCCCCCTATAGTGCTTACGTAATACGTTAACGGCCCCTAAGAAGCTAATTCTTAAAATGTATTTATGACACTTTGAAAGATGGTAGTTCACGTACATGTTTTATCTTTTATTTTTTTTTATGTAATAGGAGGCAAACCTGATGTTAAGTATACCGCCGCCTATGAACACTCACACTCAGCCAGAAGGCTCGCAAGTGCGTAGCCGGCCTTTTAAGAATGATTTATTATAAGGATTAAGACACTTTTTACAAAAACTTTGTTGGCCAATTAAGGCAAGTCAAGTCTGTTTTGAGTCACTAAGACTTCATAGTTTACGATAACTTAATCAACAATAAATGGAAAAATACAGAATTTATAAAATGTTTGATATAATATACCTATCGGTAAACATATAAATCACTTGAAAATGGAACTTATGGACTTTTTCAGATGACCGCTAGACTAACCGAGAAAGTAACAAGTGTTTACAATAATCATGTTTTGTAATATGTTTGGAGTCTAAATTACCTGAACAGTTGATGAGAGCTGGGGTTCTGGCGGTTTTGCCAAATCCTTAGCAATCACTATAAGGTTGTACATGGATATCTTTTCTCGGTCTAAAAGGCTTGCAGTATGGATTGTGCCGTTGGAAGTAATAGTAAAATCATTGTTTTCGTCTCCTGAAGTGATACTGTATGCCAATTTTCCATTCCAACCTGTAACGTTATAAAATCTCTGTAAATATTTTTTTATGTTTCTATGTATTCTATTGCAAATGTCTGTAATACTTGTATGATGTGTTGCATAAGTTACTGTATAAATAACAGTCACAAACTAAGAAAAAATTTTTTTGCTTTATAAGAAGCTCGAATAAAAACGTAACGTAGAATCGTGCAGTTTCGCGTACAACCTTGTTTTGTAATAATATTTTTGTATTTATTTTGTCTTTAGAATAAAGCATCAATACAAACCAAAACCTTTTATATAGACATATATATGATTACACAATTAATTTTTTTATCAGTATATTTATAAAAAAAATGTTTAATAAAATAATGATTACCTGAATCTAAATCAGTGGCGCTAACTGTTACCACAGAGGTTCCAACCGGTACATTTTCCAGGATCTCATTGGAAAAGCTCATAGGGTCGAATATAGGGGCATTGTCATTAAGGTCAATGACATTTATATATATCGTAACCGTTCCTGAAAGTGATGGCTGTCCGTTGTCTTGTGCCTGTGTCACTAATATATAGTGTGGTGTCTGAAAATGATAAATCACCAATGAGAACCTTTACTGCCATGTTCAAAATGTATTTATTGTCTTATTTATATATAATTTCGTTATATAAAACATTATATTAGTCCAGTGTTCATAATAAATATAGGCAAAAGACTTTTCAATGTTACTGAATCCAATAATTTAAGCATCGTACGGTTTTGTAACAATATGAAAGGAATTCTAAATAGGGAAAGTTTTTGCGTAAAGGGAACAAAGTACAAAAAATATAATATTGTGTTTAATATGTATGAAATTTATAACTTAATAATTTTAACTACGCCTAATCATTTAATCGAGAAACCCTGTTACTATAAAATACTTTAAATCTTACACACTTATCAATTTGAACTGGTTCTATCGAGAATTAGCGGACAATTTGAACGAAGGCAAAATCACCTACCTATGTACTTTATAGAATTAAAGAAAATCTTAAATCTATAAATTTATAAGTCACCCCTAAATTAAAGAGTAAAAAAAGCAAACGCAAAACTTATTTTATAATACAAAAAAATGTTAATAAAAATCAATCACAACATTATATTAATAAGAACTTTAAGGTTAAAAATAAAGGGAATCTTCCAGACACACGTTACTAAGTGCCGGCGGGTTTAATAATGACCTAATGAGCAATATCTTCGAAGCAAGCATTAAGGACAGATTTTAGACATATGCAAGTGCCAAAAATACAAGTTTTACTTAATTCAGTATTATCTCATAATAAAACTCATAAGATCCTTTTGGATAACAAAGTAACAATATAAGCGAGACTGGAATGAAAACCGCACATAATAGGTCACCAAAACTTCCCAGCTATGACAAGCTCTTTCATTCGTGGATCGTGAGCGCGTTGGCATTTAAAAAACAGGCATCGCTCCCGGAATCCGGCTTTCGAATGTTTTGCAGACGGTCGCTTTGTCAGACATTGTTCGGGCCTTAATTTCGATGGCGGATCGAGTTGGCAAATGCCGAATATGATGCCCGACGCGAAAAAACTGTACCGGGAGGAAATTAGCAGCTCTCTAGTACGGGGAATTGGCGGGCGGTCGAGAAACGAATGTACACACGAGATTGTTTTTACTAATTAGCAAAGTCTGATGAGTCCTTGTTCACTGTCCTTCGCATATTTAATGTTGAACTACGATTTGCTTAACCCAATAACTCGTCAATTGGTGCAGCCATTTCTGCGTGGCAATTGTAAAGCATGCCAGTTGTAACATAACGTAATATTTAACATAACATTTACTACTAACGAAAGACACAAAATAGTAATAATACTAATCAAAAAAAGAAATTTAACACAAAATATTCTGTGCCGACCCGGAAAAGCTCAGGTCATTGGGTTATTCCCCACATAATAATTAATTATTCGGAACTTAAAAGGGATTTTATATAATACTAGCTGACCTGACAAACGTCGTTTTGCCATGTATATCATTTATAATAAAAAATAGGGGTTGATCGTAGAGGGGTGAAAATTAGGGGTTGTATGTATTTTTTAATGATGTATCATAAAAAAAATAGGGGTGGACTACCCTTAACATTTAGGGGGATGAAAAATAGATGTTGTCCGATTCTCAGACATACCCAATATGCACACAAAATTTCATGAGAATCGGTCAAGCCGTTTCGGAGGAGTTTAACTACAAACACCGCGACACGAGAATTTTATATATTAGATTTAAGAACATTTATCCACCGCACTTATGTACAAGTGTAATAGAAGTTAAACTTTGGCGTAACAAGATAAAAATATTTTTTTTAATTTTATTTTTCGCCTTACTCTACGTTTGTAGAAAAAACGACACTAACAATAGAAAAAAGGTATTTAATACATTGAAAGCTTTATTATAACGCTGTTTTAGTCATAAAGTTTATTTAAATGTGACAAAAAAATATTTCTACATAATTTTAAAAAAAATGTCATTTTTTATTTTAAAATTTTGACTATGCTAACTAGGGTGTCGATTTTTTGTGACGGTGTGCTGGTGTCGGTTTTTTGTGACGGAGCGTTCGCACATCGGAAAAATTTACTATCATAATTTTTCCCTAACGCGCTATAGAAGTATAACTTCAAAAACGATAAATATTATTTTACAATTACTACTTATACAATCTCTAGAGAAAAATAACGTTGCTAGAAAATAGTTATACGATCCTATTTCAGCCTAAGTTATTCTAATAGTACATGCTCTGAAACAGCGAGTAGCTTTAAGCGGTCAATGTCCTAACAAAGATCTATGTTAAGATAATTGTATCAAGCGCAATATGTATATAGATGGTTTTTGAAAGTCCGAGACGTATCTCATCATCAGTTAAATAACTAAGCGGGACGAGGGATTAGTTTTTATGGCCTGGTTCGAATCAAATGTCTCCTAAGCTGAATTGGTTTATACGCGTGCATTACATTATTCCAGCGATTAGTGATTTTATAATGATTAATATTTGTTTCGTTTCTAAGCGATTGTACTCGCACGTGTGTGTTTAATTTAACGACAAAATGTGACAATTTAAAGTTATAGTACGTTCCTGTATGGCTAGATGCTTATTTTATTTAATGTGTATCCCAGAGTTTTTTCTAGATACTGATGTCCTCTATAAAACTGTAGTTCATCACTTTGCTCTATTGACAATAGTTTTCGCAGCGTACGCGATATAGGGAATTTTTGTTTGGGTTACATTATCGAAGTTTTCACAGGGATTTTTTTATGTAATAGGAGGCAAACGGGCAGGAGGCTTACCTGATGTTAAGTGAGCCCATTGACACTCACATTGCCAGAAGGTAAGTGCGTTGCCAGTCTTTTTTAATGGGTACGTTCTTTTCTTGAGGACCCTAACTTTTTGAAACAGTTCATCATAGATAATTCTAACAGTGAAAAAAAATTTCCAAAATTATCCAGTATTTTTGGCCATACAAAGAAACAATCAAATCTTTCCCTTTTTATAGTATCTCCGGACTATGCATGCCTATTTAAAAATCATTAAAACAGACCCTGTGCCCCAACGGGGGCTTACTGGTCTTATATCTACGAACTCAATAAAAACTCATTACCGCACAAACGAAGTTCGTCGAAAGAAAGACAGTAATTGGCTATTATTTACTCTTGGGAACGTTTATCTGCCTGATTTTAATCACTTAACCTTTAAGCATGTTTTTATGTTATTTTACGGCGCAACTACGCACCTCGTTCCGCTTTTTTGATCGTGTTTAAAATGTTGGATTAATTTCTAGATAATTGAAATGTTTTATCAATTTACTATAAAAGTGTATATTTAATTTACGCGAGAATTTTTAAGTTTAATAAATTACTCGCATTAAGTTTATTTTACAGAGCCAACAGGTTTAATTGTGATTATTTATCACTTAAAATGCATGTAGATAATGCAAAATGTATATTCCAGTATCGTTATTATTTTGGTGGTTTATTTTCGCCAAAAAATCACATTTATAAAACAATTGAACTTTTTTGAAACATATACCAAAATGGTACCAAAATAGTTTTTTCCCTTTCAATAATGTACGTACATCTCAATTCACCTTTGATAGTTTTTCTTACATTGTAAAGTGAACCTACCTCTTCATAATCAAGCCTAGCTGTCAATGTAAAGACGCCGGTCTGCGGGTTGAGCGAGAAGATATCATTAGCCCAGTCAGAGATCACGGTGTATGTCAACTGGGCGTTGGGGCCGGCGTCGGGGTCGATGGCCGCCACAGTGCCAACTACGGAGCCTCGCGCTGCGTTCTCTGCTATGTCGAAGGAGTACGCGCTCTCTTTGAACACAGGTGGATTATCGTTTGTGTCCGTCACCTAGAAACATTCACAAGTATTATGAGCTAACATTTAGTAAAAGCTCGGATAAGTTGTTCAACATAGGAAGTCAACCAATATGGCGTTGTATCATAGTTAATTTGTTAAGGAAAGAGTACTGACTGCAGCACTTTTGCTTGTTCATTGAGCATCATTAAGGTTTGAAAGATTTACAAATAACCAGAGTTATAATATAATTATTATATTAAATAAAAGAGTGGCGGAGTTTATTGCCAGTTCTTCTCTTCCGTCGCCCTTGATTTGAGAACTGGCAGTAACTGTAAAATTAGAAGCATTTAATGTATATTTCTTTTTTGACGTTCATAAGAGTACATCGATACCTACATTAATAAATTTTTGACTGACTTTGAATACCGCTTTTACCAATACGATAAACGATATCATATTGATATATAAATCTACATAAAGCAAACTTAGCAAGCCCTTATGCTTACTAAACCAAACGAAAGCCTTTATTTAAAAAGATTTGCACATGATATAATTAAAAATAATGATAATAGATTACTTTTAAATTTACGTAGGTTCCGTTTTGATGTGTAATACGCTGCATTATTTATCAGCCTTAAACATCAATGTTAACTCCTCTGTTTTTAACCGAATACTTACTCGTTTCCCTAGAATCCGAAATCTCCGCGCTGACATAAAAATACACATTAAAATGTCTTAGTTACTTAATAACCGAGCAATTTACAAACCTGTATAACGACTGTCACATCTGTAAACTGCATTCCATCATCAGCCCGAATGACTACTTCATATTCTGACGTCGTTTCTCTATCCAAGGGCTCCTTCAGGCTTAGATCTCCGGTCAGTCTATCCAACAAAAATGGCGTCGCATCATTTGACTGTATGCTGTATGTAATCGTTCCGATGGTGTCGGGGTCCTCTGCCGTGATCCTTGCAATAATCTGGCCAGGAGTGAGATCCTCGGACGCCGTGTACGCTGCTGGTGTGTTTTTGAACTCCGGGGGACTGTCATTTCTATCCAATATGACAACTTCCACCTGGAAAAAGAAATTGTATGAATTAAACTTCAGATAGTAAAACTATAAGAGGTTATTACAATAGTTTACATCTGTTTAAAGTTAACAGTTATAAGTAGGTGTAGAAACTGATTTAGGTAATGTATATGTGTAAAAGATAATTGTGATAAAGTGTACCTATAAAGTATATTTTAGTATTGTTGTATTTGCCACCCGACGACATGTTAGTTATTTCGACTATGTATTTGCGTGTTGTTCCCACGAGAATGTAAGTGCGTTTTTGTATATTATTAACTAACTATTAATTACTTAACATCTTACATGACATCTCATGTGGAACATGTTGTAATGGTTGCAGCTCCTTACAAACATTTTGTAAGACAAAAAGAGTGGCTGAGAGATTATTGCCAGTTCTTCTCGTCCGTTCTACGACCTTGATTTGAAAACTGGCAGTAAACGTAAAATTAGAAGTATTTAGCATTTAATATGTATTTCTTTATTGACGTTCATAAGTGTACAATGTGTTACCAAAATGAATAAATAATTTTGAATTTTTGACGATTATGAATCCTCGCCGCATACAATGCCGACCCTGCTATGATTGCATTATACCGTCCTCGTCAAATTATATATTTAACAAAACAATCTCGTACCACGATGAGTGATGTTTTATTTATAATGTTGGCAGAAAATCGTCCAGTTTAACACACTATAAGAACACGGAGCAAATTAATAATTCTAAAAATGCAGCCTGCGAGCGGCAGCCTCGACAAATCCGTAACTTTACCGTCCGACAGAATGACAAAAGATGCATTTCGATTTTTCAGATAACTTTTATTTTGAATACAATAACCTGTTAAAACTTATTTCAATAATGCTTTTAGGGATTTATACATTTAAAACAGAGTAATTTAGATCCGACACAGTGATAGAAGTGTTGGCCTAGTGGCTTCAGCGTGAGACCATCCTTGAGGTCGGACCTTCGATCCGCGGCTGTGCGCCAACGGACTTTCTTTCTAAGTGCGCATTTTACACGACTGTGTACGGTGAGGTGATATCTCAAATCCCAAAAATTTACATGTCACACTGAAGAATGATCACCTACTTGTGTTTGAAATAGAAATGATCTAAGAAACGGATGAAATTTGAGGCCATGACTCGCATAGGGTTGCTTCGTTTTGGTTTATGTTTAGGTAGGACAAGTCAATAAAATCATTGGCTTGTACAAAAGTGCACACTAAGAGCACTATTGGCCTAGTGGCTTCAGTGTGCGACTCTCAAACCTGAGGTTGTAGGTTCGATCCCCGGCTGTGCATCAATGGACATTCTATGTACGCATTTAACGTTCGCTCGAACTGAGAAGGAAAATATCGTCAGACAACCGGCTTGCCTTACCCAAAACGACGTCATGTGTCAAGCACAGGAGGCTGATCACCTACTTGCCTATTAGTTTTACAAATGATCATGAAACAGATACAGAAATCTGAGGCTTTATTTTTTATACCAAAAAGGTTTATTTTTTTATTTGGATCATGTATAACTATTTATTAAACTAATATCTGGCATTACGATTAAGCTTCGAAAATAAGTCATTGACCCTTAAAAAGGTACACTCGTTTGATGAGATGTTTTAGATAAGATTTATTAAGTTAGGCTCGTGCTTTACAAATGCAGCCGTTGGACGTTTATAAAAAGGCAATCGAACAGAACTCGACAAATCAACAAAGGCAAGGAAAATGTAACTGAACGAGCTTAGTTTCGTCATCTGTACGGTGAAGCATGAAGAATTTGGAGCACAATGATCGGACCCGTCAGATATAAGATTGTAAAGATTTCTCTTGGAAGCTGCGCATTTGTTATGATGACTCAATCTTTTCTTTGTGTACTAGAGTACCATCGTTGGCTAGCATAGTCACAGCCGTCGACACCTACGCACTTTACGTAAGAGAAGCAGCAATTAACGCCGATTGAGTGTTCCCATCTGTCAAGTAAATAAATTGAATTGTGATAATAAAATTTATTGTTCACTTTATTGGTTAGCTTTCGAATTGAAACTTTTATGATATCAAACAATCGAAAAGTTTTGAAAATAGAACATAACATTCTTACAAAGTATACTTGCCTAATTATATTTCCCAACGTCATGTTAAACGTTTCTTGTGGATTGGGACCCCCTAGAGGTTATGTTTGAAGTACCTCATCGATTAAGGGAAGAGAAATGACAGAATGTTCTAGAAACAATTAATCAAGTTTCGATAATTGATCGTTCTGCGCTACTAGATTAATACGAAATATCAAACTAATATGTTTTAGTCTACTTTTGAATAATGATTAGTAAATCTGGCACAAAAAATATCGCATTCTTATTGATTATATTTAAATATTATAGGTTCATAATAAAGAGAGAGGTTTCTTATCATAATTATCCATTAAATCCAGACCTGTTTGTTGTAAAACAGATATTTGTAATACCGCAAGAATACAACACAATTATTTAGTAAGAACGCAGTACTCAACAAATGTATAATGCGTGTTGTATGACAGTTTGAAATATTGACCGATTTTTTAAATTTTAGATAAATGGATACCAATAATCGCCTTCACAAAAAAATCTTCCCACTCAGCACGTTTTGATTATGACAATCGTTTTACATGATTTTTTGTTCAGTTTATTAAACATCGACACCTTATAATTAATATTGTTCGTTTAATTTGTTTGATTTATTTTCGCAATAAATTAACAGCTTAAGTTATTACTATACGTATATATTCAAATATATTTCTGTGCTGGTTTTGTTTTATAGTACGTAACCTACACACTCTTAAGCTTGTATTTAATACGTTACTAAATATTAAATTTAGTTGTATGGAGGATGTTGAATGCCTAAGATTGAATTCCATAAGAAAATATGTTTATAGATATAAGCAATATTATAAATTAGATAAGAGCAATAGAAAGACAACTCACCTCAGGGACTTAAGATGAAAAGTGAAAAGGTATCTCTTCAAATCAGAATGATTTCTTAACGGAAACCAAAATCAGTACCTTTGGGACGATGAATTCCATTAGAAAATAGGAAATGTTCAACTCAAACAATCCCGGCGATGATTCTGTGTTGGCAAGAGCGCCAGCAATTGAAAGACAACTCACCTCAGGGACTTAAGATGAAAAGTAAAAAGGTGGCCCTTCAAACCAGAATGATTTCTTTAACGGAAACCAAAATCAGAACATTTGGTACCATGTGAATTCCATAAGAAAATAGGAAATGTTCAACTCAAACAATCCTGGTCAAGATTCTGTGGTAAGAGAGCTAGCAAGAGAAAAACAACTCACCAGGGACTTAAGATGAAAAGTAAACCCCTTCAAACCAGAATTATTTATTTAACGGAAACCAAAATCAGTGCGTCATTAAGCTAAGACCGCTATTGATTACAATGGAAATTTAAAAATTCAATCTTTAATGTCCCAAACGAGAAAGCGTCAGGTTCTGAAAAATGACCTTCCAATTTTGAGATACTGAGGCTATGTTCACCGACATCAATCATTCTACTCATTTGCTTCGAAAATTTCGGTCTTTTTATTGCGTTACTCCATTTTATTACACCTAATTTCATTCAGCGTCATCACAATGGTCAGACCAATGGAGCTATGGTCAGATTGGTGAACGTCGCCGCCGTGCAATTTATCATTTTTCGTACAGGTCATTTTAATCCTATCTAAATTTGTAATTTATGGGTCTTATTACTACAGTTATGTTTTTCATTGTGTTTTACAAAAGATATACAATTATTCATGTACGTTTTTTAAAATATATAATACATAGAAACGGAAATGATAATTTTGATTAGAATTATCTTATTTATTTATAGTTAAGTATTTTTACTATGTAAAGCAGAGACAACCAACGTAGGATAGGTCGAGAATTATTTAAAGATAATTATTTAATCAGTTGGAGAAGTATTTTTAATATACTTTTACAGATTTTGTTAGTTAAAATTTTTCAGTTTTGTTAATAGTTAAAATATCGACTTTTCAGACTATAATTATGTTATTACTTATAAAATCTTTTGACCGCGTCTAAATATGAATTATTTATAGCCGAGTTGTATTAAGCAATATTTGCTTGCTTTTTGAGAAACGAATTAATTTGCATTAGGGAGTTTTTTTTTGAAGTCGCCAAACGATAGCCAAATAGGAATGTCATTTACGTAAATATAAATAAACTAATTAACACTTTACACTTATCAATGTAAGTAATACAAGGCCAATGAATACAAAAAAAAAACATTATTTTTAGTGCACTTTGAAGTCGGTGGTTTTTTAATCATATATTTGTCTTAAAATTATATGACGTTTACTACGATTTGTCACCTAACTGGCCCTATGGAATTGCAAATCGTATGTTTAGTCTTTGTAACACTTTAAAACAAAACTGTACATGAAGAGCCATTTAGCAACCCTGTCATTTTTACTGGCTCTCGATTTATCGCCTGAAGAACAGATATGGTGGCATCGTTTATGTTAGAATACTTAGAACAAAGTTAGAGCATGTTAGACTATGTTTAGATCGCTTCGTGACCGTGCAACGCGAGCACCGCTATACCCCCAGGTTCGCGCAATTATGTTACTTGTCAGAGATTACAATATTAACAGATACATAATCTTATTTAAACATAAAAGACATAGAGCCGGAAGACCAATATCAACCGAAATGTTTTAGTTTTAACGATAAACAAAAACAATCTTAGTTATCGTGGATACCTTTTCCATAACGTGAAGGATATGATTTTGGACAATTGTTGATGGTGTACTGTTGAAATACTATTTTATGACATTTATCACGATTTTTGTACTACCTATACAATTATAAGATTTGTACTCTTGTTCTTAATGAATAAACTTAAAAACTTTACTAATTTTTTAAATAAGACTACTAGTAGTGGAATTTATGTACATTAGTAATTATTTATTTAATTTTTCAAATGTAAACTGAACTTTATTGACTTAATGTTCTCAGTTTTATCTTTTTTTTATTTGTGCTTTTTTTTAATATGCCAAAGAATATAATGCAAGAAAAAAAAGAATATGTAGGTAAAAGCATGTTTCTATATATAATAAAGTGTCAAAAAAACCCAGGGGGGAACAAAGTGTTTACCGTAGCCGATTTTTATGAAAGAATATGAAAAGATGTCATCTCAAACCGTACCCATAGGCGCTTCTACGTGATTCTACTCCGTAATTTGTATTAAGCGTGCGAGTTGAGTCCGCCCACGTTGGCTATCTGTTGGAAATATATGTAAAATATGCACAAAAGTACCCAGGATAAAGTGCATCGATAAGAGGCGACGCAATTTGCATCGCCGTAAGCGCAAGGATCGATAATTTTGAACCTGTATCTACCGAAATGTTGCTACGAGACACAAAATACGCACATCAATCACTTATGGTTTAAATATTGTCTCTATAAATAAAACTGTCATCACTTGCCGTTAGTATAGAGCTGGGTTCGATGTCAAATAAATAAAACATATTTTGGTTTCGATAGGATTGGCTGGCCAGTCAAACATTGTGGAGTCAAGTCAAGTCAAAAACCATTTATTCATATAGGTAACACAATGTACACTTATGAACGTCAAAAAAGAAATATACATTAAATGCTCCTAATTTTACATTTACTGCCAGTTCACAAATCAAGGGCGTAGAACGAAAGAGAATAGAAGAACTGGCAACAACTCCCCGCCACCCTTTTTTCTCTTTTAGTTCAATGTTTCTTAAACATTTATATAATCACTTTTGTAGCCCTTCATTAAAAC